TAAAAACATTAATTTTATGTCATTAACAAAATTAGTTTCAACATCTTGGGTCATCATAAAAATAAACTTTTTATAGGGAAAAAAGACGATCTGCAAATAAACTTAGTTCACCAAGAAATCTGCCGAAGATTGGATTTTTTTTTTTTTTTGGTGGGGGGTGGGTACAATGATATTCACCCTGTACAAGGCCCGAAAGCCACACGAGGTAGAAGGTTACAGAGTAACTATATTGGAATGATAACGGTTAATCCTAGACTTTAACGGGTTAAAGATTGTAGTGATCAGAGAAGCATCCTCTCGCGAGTCGGTTCCACAAAGCAACGGTTCATGAGAAGAAACTGCTCGAGTAGAACTTAATCTCACCAATGGAATAAGAAGAGAATGAGGGAGGTCCCTTACAGTGAGTTTGGTATGGAGGGTTTTAACTTTCCAAGGAAATAGCAATAGAGCAGCGAGAGTCTTGTAATGTTTTATCTATATATAAAGTTTTAATCAATTGGAAATTAGCCGTTGTTTTGCCAACCATTCCAATAAACAGCTTAATAAATGAATAGTGTACTGTAAATAAACAATCTAATAAATAATGTTTAATATATTTGTTGTAAATTCTCAAGAACAAAAAAAATGTATAAATTCACTTTCATCATGTGTTTAGGCTTTATTCCAATTTTAATCATCGCTTTTTTAAAAACAATAAGGAGTAATGGTAGTTAAAAAGCGGTGTCATGGGGAAAACCGTCCTTTTTGACACTTCGTCTTATTGAGAACATGTTTATCCATGTTTGCCTCTTCCTATGTTTACATAGAATTCAACAATAGCACCTCAATATATATATATATATATATATATATATATATATATATATATATATATATATATATATATATAGCATGTTTGGTTGAATAATATCAACAAGTTCTGTCTATTCAATCTTTTATTAACTTTTTAAAATTTAGTGATTAGTTGTATTATATAATCACTAAATAAGTTAATTTTCGCCCTTTCCATTCAAATGCTGATATTTCTTTTTCAAGGATTTTTTGTGTGTGTGTGTGTGCGTGTGTGTGTTTGCGTATATATATATATATATTAAAAGAAAAGGGTGCCGCAAACGTTTTTGAGAATAATGTGGATTTAAATATATATATTATTTTTAAAAATATTATGGGCTTATTTTGAAAGTTTCGTCGTTAAAAATAATTTTCTTCATGTTCAATCTCAATAAATCACATTACAACAAAAAAACGTTTCACGTATTCATTTATAACGGCCAAACTGAACCACTAACATATTTCTTTTATATTTTATATATATATATATATATATATATATATATATATATATAAAATATATATATAAAAAACTATTATGGGGCATTTTGGCGTCGGTTCAGTTTCGTCACTTATTCATTTATAACGGCCAAACTGAATGTTTAACTGTATTTCTTTTTATGCACACTTCCATTGCGTGTGAAAAAAAAAAAAAAAAAATCACGGGTTCAGACGCTTGCGCATAGCGAAATAAGATAGGTATTTACTTAATCAAATACACCTAATCGTTTCCTGGAAAATATTTTTTAGCAAATTCAAAGGAATGAAACAGACATTGGTTAATAATAATTTTCCCAACTATATGACTAAATTGATTCTTGATAGTCAAACAAAATTGATCGTATAAAATTTAAACGTTACTAACACTGAAAAAACGAAACAAATCAATATTTTTTTAATTCAACCAAACGCATAAAGATGACAGTCCAATTGAATTCGCCATGTAACGTATAATAAAACAATGCATTTCCCTTGAAGATCCCACAAAACACATAAAACCCACTATCTTCTTCCATGTACCTTATCTCTTCAGGGCGTGGGCGATCATGGCTTACACAATGCCCATCTCTTGTAGACCCTAAAAATGTTTCTCTTTTTTACTATGCCTCCATGTTCCGGCATCCATTTACAAGCTCTTTACATACTTTATTCACTGCGTTCCACTGTTTCTCTTGACTGTAATATGTCCTGGGAGTGAAAAATTCTCCAAGACCTCTTTCATTATTATGTGTCCTAGAAATTTCAACTGTCTCTTTCTTATCTTAAACATAAGCGTCCTTTTTGTTCTCATTTTCCTTTAAGCTTCTTCATTACTCGCATGCTCTGTCCATGGTATTCTCAGTATCCTTCTGTAGAACCGCATTTTTGCTACCTCGAGTCTGTATTCAGTATTCCCTATCATATAGGATGACTGATACTTGTTTTAGACAAAATGTCCCTGTTTCTTAATACTTTGTTTAGTTTCTGAATGGCATCTTTCACTGTTCCAGATTTTGGTGTCATATTTTCCGTCCACTGTTGAAACACTTTCCAAATATTTAAATTTTTGTACTTGCTTGATTAGTAAATCAATTCTTGAACTGTTCCATCTTCTTATAATTTATGGTTAGTCCTTTCTTCGCTAAACAATAACGAGACAGAAGATAACCAATTGACATTGCATTTAAATTTTTCAAGATCAAAGTTGACTGGAAATCAAGAAGTTGGAAGAGAGTTCCACAAGTGCAAAGTGTGAGAGAAAAAACTGTTAGCATAGAACTTCTGGTTACATCTTGCTATTTCAAGGGTAAAATGATGAGACCTTACCGCCAATCTAGTACTGCGCTTAAGTCTAGCTACCACCGATGAAAGTTCCTCAGAACAATTACCATAAAAATATTTATAGAAAAGTCACAGGGAAGCTACGTTACGGTGGTGGGAAAATGGCTGAAGACGATATGCCAGGTCAGGACCAATAACATTAGAGATTTTTCTTTATATTTTATCTAGAATCTCTAAATACATAGCAGAAGTACCAGATCAGATATTCAATGCATGGGCGAATCTATCAATCTACCAATGTGTGCATGTGTTTGCGCGTGGGCATGTGTGTGTGTATGTGTGCAAGTCTCTATTGTAAACAAAATGTGCACAAATAATGCTCACCAGCTGTCTTAGTCAATCTGCAACCAGGCTTTCAGTTATGTCTTTGTGTTTGCTTATTTCGGTAGATTATCTAATGTTGTGCTGTAACGGCTTTGCGATCTTTACGAAAATCGACAAGTTCCAGCAACATGTCTGAATGAGATTTTCATGAGATTTAACACTTCTACTACCAAGATCGAAAGGCGTCGTCGGGCTTTTGGCCAACATTCTTTACGGTGGACACGGGTTTTTGAGTGGAACACGCGTTTCAAGGTTCCTCAAGTGTCTATCCAAGACAACGAACATTCCAAATGACCATATACCAAGCAAAACGCCAGAAAAAAAAACATTGTAAACTCATCCCTGAAGACAGTCCATTGCCAAACGTTCTCTCAAATGACTGGAATCGGTTATAGAGTCCGACAGGAAATACGGAAGAGGGAAATTTCTGATACCAACTCATGTTGGGGGTTGGGGACTTTTGGTTTGTTACATTGGTTTTGGAATGATAGACAGGATCAAGTTTTGCGATTGCCAGAAGGAAGAAGATCGAGCAGCATTCGAGAGAGAAGTAGGAGAGAAAAAGAAAAATCTGACCAGGAATTGGTAAAAGGAATCAAACCTAACAGCGCCGATATTAGTTTCCCTCTAGCTTATTTCTGTAGCGGGAATTGGAAAGTCTGTGCAATTCTTCATTCATATTCACTTTATTTCGACCACAAATGCTTAAGTGGGCAAGTGAGTGAAATCGCCTCTTCTCTCTCAAATACTTGTCCGGCAATTCTTGTAAATAATCAATATTACAGTCGAACATAGAATAATTTTTATACATTTGTTTTAAGTGGGAAAAAATGCAAAAAGAGGAAATTAAACATTTAACTATTATATTAAATTGTTAAACTGAATTTTTAAAGGAGTCATTCAGCTCTATTGATTTATTTATTGATTTATTTGTTGAGATAGCAACAAATAAATCATTAAATAAACTCTAACCTTTGCTACTAGACTATGTAAAAGTATGAAACCAAAATTGTTGTGGCCTTGTTAGGGACCAGAAATAAAGGCACAAGAGAGGAATTGAGTTAAACAAACATATTAACAGGAACAGAAATACAAACATATACAAACGAGAATGTTATAGCAAGAATGTTCAGTCCAACTGTCAAAGTTGTCAAAGTTGACTGCTGGAAATTTCCCTCTCTAAAAGGCAGTACCTGCTCCTATTTATAGCTAGGAGAGTAAATTACAATAACAAAAATAATAATAAAAGAAAAATTAAAAGTAATAAAATTACTTGAAAATATAGATAAGAATTATAATTAACAATGAATAAAGAAAAAGTGAAAAATATAAAAAAATAGTTAAATAAATTTGAAAACTCCCATCATACACGTTTTTGCCACCAGTTGAAACAGAAATCAAATTTTCTTTCTCTTCATCTTTGATGGCCAAATGAAGCAGATGTCCGGGAACAGACCTCTGACAGACCCTGGGGTGATCAAACAGATAAGCACGTATTTTTTATCTCTATATACGTATATGGTCTTTAAAATATACAATCTTCTTTAAAATGCATATGAAAGCCCTTTATCTTTTTTGTTCACACTTATTGTGTTGTGTCCTGTATATGATTTGTTTGTACCTTGTATATGATTTGTTTGTAATTTATATATTTTCATTGTAGAGCTGATATTTTTTTAATCCCCAAACAAAAATTATATATATATATATATATATATATATATATATAAAAGAAGTATATTCAGACAAGGCCAACACATCACAAGACAACCCACAACAGATCAATTCATTTTTACACTTTATCAATCCTTTGCGGCTTATTTAAAGCCAGAAAATATTTTAAATTGTAGGATTTTTTTTTGTGATAATAATAATAATCTACTGATACAAGTAGATACAAGCAACAAGAGGTGGATTCATGTTTCTCATGTAAGTGAATATAAGAAACCCAACTGGAATTGGAACTCAGTTCTCTGATTAACAATTCCAAGCCATTACTCATTACAATCACCTACACATCCAAGCTTACAGCAACTGGTATTCCCAAGTGGTCACCCATCTAAGTACTGACCAGGCTCAATGTTGCTTAATTTTGGCTATCCTACAAGAACTGATGTTTCAAGCCCAATTCCGCTACAATGTTTAGTATTAAAATAAAAACCAGGAAAAAATTGGCCCTTGGGTACCGAATACCTGGCTGACATATATGCCTCATACTATCAAATCGGAAAAATGTGCCAGACTTAACCGGGCCAGGTAAAATACCTGTTTTCAGAATATTGTCAAGTTGTATGAATAATTTCAGATTTTATATTTCCCCACTAACAGTTTTCTTCATATTTGTATCCATCAGTGTTTTATGCTGTTGAAACAACATTAGTCTTAAAAGAGGTACACCCACCTTTATTTCTAAGACATTTCACAGTAAAAGAGACTCATCATGACATTTGGCTGTGCAGTTAGGACTTTAGCATTGCGACCATGAGATGTGGGTGCTTTTTCATGATGATGACAATAGTCTGGAAAGATGATGCCAGTTTACAACATCAATGCAGATTACATTGGTTGACTCGAGCCTAATGAATGAAATTGGCTAATTAATTGTATGGAAGCTGTTGACAGTTATGCTATCACAAAATCAGCATGAGTGTATTGGTTTTTTTTCAACTACTGATTACACCAGATTATGCGCTCTCGGTCAGAAACTAAGTAAGATCTGCTCAGCATTAGATCTAATAACATATATATATATATATATCATCATTTGGCAAGGAATATTTAGGAGAAAAAAATTAACTTATGATTCCTCTCTATTTTTTTTATAAGAACCTCTTTTCAATATTGTTATGATGAGCATTTGCATTAATTTTATTGTGGAAATTTGTTTTGCGGACTGGATGTGATGCTTGGAGCCCTTGTGCAGAAAACAAATTTTTTTTTATTTTGCTTTCTTAGTACTCACATCCTGTTGAAATGTAGAGTGAATTAGAAAGAGATCTAATTGTAGTGAAGTATAACAGCTCCCTCCAGATCTCAATCTTGTTGCAGGCTGGTGTATGCATTGAGAGATAAACACATGTCTCCTGAAATACCCACAACAAACAGCAGACTCGGGATGTGAGTCCACAAAAAAAAAATGCATATGAAAAAAAAATAAAGTAATAACTGTCCTTTTGACACAGATTTTTTTTTTGTGTGCACTGCCAAAATTTTTTTCTAAAACCTTTTACCCATATCAGTTAAGAGATTTCAATAGTTAAATCTCTAGTCCTGTCTAAATTTGCTGAAAAATCTGAATATCTGATGTAAATGCAATTAAATTAATATGTCTGAAAAAAAAAAAAGCTTACATTTTATATGAGAGGAAAATGATTTCTCTTTCAAATGATACCAAATTTAGCCTCTTTGGTATTACAGGTTACAAGATATGGTTTGGGAAATCAACAACTTTTATATTATTGTAGATTTATGATGCCTCTAGTTGATAATGTGATGGGTGTTAATGTTGTGTATTAAAATACAATGTCATCTGATTGCAAACACATTCAGGCACTCCTAAAGTATGAGTGAGCATTTTCAGTCTTAAAGTGTTAAGTATAAACACTCGAAACAGAGGTACAATGAATTGGCACAAATTTGCAGAGCATTATTCTGATCTACACATTAATCCCTAAGAATCCTGTTTGAATATTTTACTAAGAAAATTTGGCAGAGTAAGATAAACTGTGACATAATTTATTTTTTTGAAAGATCTCAGTATATCCTTATGTCCCATATATGTTGCCATATAAGACCCTATGTTCATTTCAGCAAGAAATATTAAGGAAAAATTATTGGATAACATTGAATGTTACTTGTATTGTCTTGATTTATATGCCCTATCTGGCCCAGTTCCAAGCAAGTTTCTTTTCATTCATTCAAACAAATTTATATATTTCTAATATTGAAAAAAATATTAGAATAAAAAAAGTGGTTTTTATATGCCATTAAATATTGCAAGTAGATCTAGTAGCTGTAATATATGTGTATTTAACATTTTACTGTAGGAGTTATCTTCCTCGCATTTACAAAGCTGAGAGGTAAAAATACTGACACTGGAAAAGCAGTATACAACATTTGGGGAAAATATATGTAGACTCACAGATGAAAACCTAATAGAATAATAATAATAATATATTAACCTAATATAACCTTTAACCTAATAATAGCTTAAAGACTTAAGGAAATATTAATTTCATATATGCCGTCATTTTGGTAAATTAGTTTTGCATGGCTAACAAATTATAAAGTTATAATTCGGAGTGACAATCTGGTAAAACATTAAGGGGAATAATTTAATGTCAGATTGAAATATTATCAAATAAGTTTCTTAAGAAGGCATGAAGATGACAATTTAAGTTGCATTTCATAATCTCAATTATAAAAGAAATGCTGATTCTCTCTCCATTAGACTCAGCACGTGACTCTGCATGTGTCCATATGCATATGTCTGTGTTGATGAGTGAATGACTTACAGGTGCTTGTGCTATTTAACAAACACACACACACAAATTTGACAGAGTTTGAATATGAATAATATATTCCCCTTCATACTCAGATTGGACAACTTCTACACTGGGCTGAGCAATAAACTCATAACACAGTATAGAAACATGAAAACATAATAGAATAATAATATATTAACCTTATAAAACCTTTAACTTAATAATAGTATAAAAACTTAAGAAAAATTTAATATCATATATGCTGTCATTTTGGTAAATTTTTTTTATCAAGACTAAGAAATTAGGATGTTATAATTTAAAGTAACAATCTTGTAAAACAATACAAAGTTGAGAGGTAAAAATACTGACACTGGAAAATCGATATACAATATTTGGGGAAATTACATGTAAAGACTCACACATGAAAACCTAATAGAATAATAATTAATAATAACATATTAACCTAATAAAACCTTTAACCTAATAATAGCTTAAAGACTATTAATAAACACATACATTTTTTTGATAAAAAAAATTGAAACTAAAAAAAATATTGGAATTTATTGAAGTTTTCAGAAATAATTCAGTAATAAAATTATTTTTTAAACGTTTTTTTTCAATTTTGTAGAAACTTAGGTCTGTCATTAAAATTTACATGCGCCCTTGCAAGCATACATACAAATTGAATGAAACTGAAATCGACATTTGTTTCACAAAGGGTAATTTCCCTGCCAGGCAACAACCCCTGGGTAATAGGAAAAGATTATCAGCTGAAATATGAAGTCATTTTTATGACCCCTCCTGTATTCAAACTGAACATATTTTCTAATAAATTTAATATTTTAAAAGGACAATTTAAATATGAAATTTGATCACCTTGCTGTTAGCAAAGTGACTAGTACTTTCTAATTTTGAGAGAATTATAGCTCGTAACATTTCATCACCACCAAACAGATCCCAGACATGCACCAACTAAATTTCAAAAAGTTTTCTTGCCTCGAATATCAACTGAGACTAAATTTCACTCCTGACCTCAAATGGAATGTGTATATTTGGGTCATTACAAAAGATGCTGAAAGAATGTCCGGTTCTTTGAATACTTCCAGATTGCTACCATATTTAGGCTGATGCTACCCAGTCGTCCTATCCAGCCTTGACAGAGTTCAAAAGTAATTACGCAGCCTTGTGAGTGATAACAAGTAGGCTAGCTTCTTTCAGAAATTTACAGTTTGTTTTGGGGTCCCACTGACAGGCATGTATCACATTATCCCATCTGTTTCTTTAATAATCATGCTTAATTTGATCATAAAAAAGATAATTTTTCTTTTTTAATCTATGGTTAGTTCCTTGAATCCTTCCATAAAAATACCTAATTCCTACTGCCATACTTTATCTTTACAAGAGTCAGATCAAACCAAGAGTATTGCTGCTATATTTAGGCTGATGCTATCCAGTCATCACTATCCAGTCATCACTATCACAGCCTTGTGAATGATGAATTATTCTCCAACCTGCAACTCTTATCCCACTGGTGAAACATCACTAGTTTCTCACTACTATATTGCTATTATTATAGCAGATGTATGAACAAGTTCTATTCCTTAGTTCCACCAGTTCAGACCTTCACAGCTAGGACCTGCCATGCCATGTTCACAGTGGCAAGTCATCCACATTCCCTTCCTTTGATAAGGAATAAGTTTCACTCAGACAGCTTCTTCCCTAGAATTGTTACTTCATGGAACAAACTCCCAAGAGAATGATTCCCTGACATCTACAATCCTGGTCTTTTTAAATCCAGGGTCACCCAAAATCTCTCCTAATGCCCCTCATAATACTCTCTTAATTCAACCTCTTTTACAATCTCACACAGTTACTTTGAATGGCTCTTGTGGCCTACAGGAAAAAAAACAAAAAAGAACATATTATTCTACCCACACTCTTTCAAATCCCATTTTGAAACCTAAAGACATTTTTATGTAAATAAATAAAAAATAACTCCCCCAAAAGAGCATTTTTCAAATCAGGGGAGCCAATAACTTAGAAAATCCAATATGGCGTTAGAAAAAAATAATTTAGCTAAAATGTGGGTTAAAGAAATTCATAATGACATAAAAACACAGTGAAAACAAAAAGCCATAAATAAGAGTGTTAAAAATGATATTTTCAAACAGTTTGGATGGAAAGAATATCATTTATTGAATATTTAGCTCAAAAAGATAGTCAGTATATACAGAAACGTCAAATTCATAATGCACCTTTCTTTTTAGTTCTTTTTTTTATACACAGATCTATATATGAGAAGGCTTTTCTCGCATTTTCCCTTTCTTTTTCAAACATTCTCTCTCTCTCTCTCTCTCTCTCCCTCCCTCCTGCAGATGGCAGAGAAAGAAAAAACCCTTCCCTTTTCTTCTGTGCACAAACCACATTTCTCAGGCTACAAATTAAGGAAAAATATTTTCTTTGAGAAGCAGAAGGTTAAAGAAGAAGAAGAGTAAATTAACAAAAAAAAAAAAGAAAGAAAACAGATCAACATGAAGTTATTTTCTATATTTCGTTTTTTTTGTTTCTTTTTTCTTCTTTCTTTCTCTATCCAACTGTTCTTGTTTCCTATTTTCCCTGAGTCTACATCTTGATCAGCAGACGGCAATGGCAACAACAGCAGCAACAACTTCTAGCAACTGGTGAAGCCATCTCATGCTTACTTTCACACAACTGACACGGCTCAAACTTTCTGCTTTATCTTCTTCAATACATTTGACTGTTCCACGGCAGCTTTCCGTTTCCGCTGAATAAAAATAAAAAGAATATATATATTGATTAAAAATATGAACGACCAGTATCAAAACATTTCTAAAATATGTGGAAGTTGCTTAAATGTTAATAGGTACTCATTATATCTCTCTTAACCATTTTTTTTAATCATACCATCTTGATCGTTTGTGTTCATTTTGTTTAGTTCTTTTTTCGTAATAGATTTAATGTTTAGTATAGAGCTTAGAAAAAATTGGTAGTGTGAGATAGGCAAGAAGTAAAGCATGTAGCAACATCAGCACGACAAAGGGTACTCCTTTAAAGGCAAGGAAGAGCAAAAATATTTTAAGTAAAGTGATAGCGATTGCAGTATGAGTCGTATGATTTTTGAATCAAGCACGGGCAACGCTGGGCAGTGCTGCTAGTATCTGTTTATATTTCTGAGATGAGGTATTAAGTACACTATTTACATTATTCGGACTATTGTCCTCATCTTTGTCACCATATTTATCACAATGTTTTGGCCATTGTATACTCTGGTCTTATTCAGGTGGTTGGAATGTCGAACTGAACCCTTTATTTCACTCACTGGGGTAGACTGTTCTAGTTCTACATGCCATGTCAGTTATCAGTTATCTCCTGTTAATTCCCCTCTCCAATTTCTCCACTGTCTAAACCAGGTATTGAACTCACACTCTTTGGGCCCTGTCACTGGATCTAACTAATGCTTTTATCCACTGTGCCATGTGTGGACTAGAACAGTAGACTGGGGTAGACTCAAGGATACATGGCACAGTGGATAAAGGTGTTAATTAGATCCAGTGACAGGACCCAAAAAGTGTGAGTTCAATACCCGGTTAAGGCAGTGGAGAACTTAGAGAGGGGAATTAACAGGGGATAACTGACAACTGACATCCATTAAACATGGCATGTGGAACTAGAACAGTCTAACCCAGTGAGCAAAATAAAGTGTTCAGTTCGACATTCCAACAACCTGAAGAAGGCCAGAGTGTACAACAGCTGAAACATTGTAATAAATATGGTGACAGAGATGAGGACAATAATCTGAATAATGTAAATAGTGTACATAATACCTCATCTCAGAAATATAGACAAATAAACTAGTGAATAATTGATATCAGATTTGCATTAGAATCATTCATTACAAAAGATTGGAAAAGAATTATGCAGTTTATTTGTATCAGAGCAAAAATAAAGGCAAGAATAAAAAAAGAAAATATTCAAATATTTCATGGTACATAAAATCCCTTTCTTGCTTTTAAAATCAGATTATTATCGAGATAGGCTAGATACAAGTAATCTATGATGTCTTAGCAAACATCAGCCTATTAGATATCTCAACTTTGGAAATATGTTTTAGCCATTTTTATGAAAAAAAAAAGATGAGAGGCTCTTATGTATCAGGAAATATGGTGAATAGATTTTGCAAAATATGAATTTGTTAAAGAAAGAATTAAGCATAAACAAGTAATGGTTGGTGCAAACTTTAAACCTGATTTTACCTTGCCAGAAGGAGACAAAGTCTCATACTGATGACGAAGAGTCTGCAGGTCATATTCACAACTAGCCAATGCCAGTTTCAGTTCATACAAGAGGACAATGTCTTGCCGTAATTCATTGAAGTGTTGAACAATCTCTTCAGTTGCCATTGGATTGTACTCTGCAATACAAATGATAGTGGTGAGAGTAAAATTAGTCATTTCTGTACAGGAAACACTCAACCCTCTTTGATCAAACAGTATTACTACAGAGTGAAATTTTGGCAATCTTGAGCCTTTATGTCAAAAAAAAAAAAAAAAAAAAAAAAAAACGTGTGTCAACAGGACGGTTTTTTCCTTGACACCACTATTATTTTAACTACCTGTCCTCCCTCAGAATTGTTTATTATTCTAAAAAGTGATGATTAGAATTTTAATAAACCCTAAACATATGAAAGTGAATTTATACATTTTCTTTCTTCTTGAGGATTGACAAACAAATATAATAAACACTATTTATTGATTAGATTCTTTATTTACACTATTTATTATATTGTTTATTGGAATGGTTGGCAAAACATTGGCTAATTGCCAATCAATTTAAACTTTATAAAAGAGTAAATAATAAGGATTTCCTTATAGTTGGTTCATATATTTTAATAATTTATTAAATGTTTGTAAATTTATTCATAAAAATTGTTTTTATATTTACTTCTTTATAAATTGGTAAATGATGAAAATTGCATTGAATTAGTTTTAATTCAATTGTATTAGTTTTACAGATGATGTAAATATAAAGTTATTCTTGTAAATAAACAATCTAATAAATAGTGTTTAATATTTTTTTGAAAATTCTCAAGAACAAAAAAATTGTATAAATTCACTTTCATCTCATGTTTAGGTTTTATTACAATTCTAACCATCACTTTTTTAAATCAATACACATTGCCGAGGAGTGAAGGTAGTTAAAATAATAGTGGTGTCAAGGGAAAACCATCCTTTGACACTTCATATTTTGCAGGCATGAAGGTCCAAGATTATCAAAATCTTTTTATTAAAACAGTTTTTTAATACTGATGTGAGTTTCCTTCCTAACCTTTTCTTTATGGTATAGTGGAAAGTTAACAGCTTGATTATATCATTAGTCTCCCTTCTAGTTACACATGCAATCCATTTTTGTTGCTACTGCTCTCGGAAGTACACATGGGAAATTTGTTATTTGCTAAAGTTCTTCATTTGTGATTTTGTAATGCCAGTCTAGAGTCTTATGACGAATGATCATCTTTAAAATTTAGAAGATTAATTTGTTTTAAGTAATTTTTAATCACTGATCTGAGAAAATGGTTGTATATACACAAGAGTTTAGAAGTCTCTGAATGAGTTGGATGCCATGCATGACATACATATGAAAGTCTCGATCTGACGATATATATATATATATATATATATATATATATATATATATATATGGGATAACAGTATATAAATTTTTATATATCAAGAACAATTTTGGAGGAAAGTTGTATGACAAAGTGGAAAACGTTTTCACAGGACAAGCTTTGTCCCTTAGAACCACATTGGACTAATTTTGTTTATGTTGGCATGACTACAAATGTGTATGAATGAGATGCTGAAAATTTTAAATTTAATCTTTTTTTTTAATATATTTTGGGTCTATAATCTCATAATGATTTCATTTAGCTTTCTTTCCCTCATCTTTGTTATTAAATATCGCACATTGTGATAACAGAAGATCTGTCAAGAATGATGAAACATCGTAAGAACCTAGATGCAAATTTATTGTGAATGAACTAGCAATTACAACACTTTCTAAACATATTCGTTTTTGTGAATTGTTTTCTTTTAATTAGAGTAACATTTTTTTTTTTTTAAACTGTGGTCAGTCTTGTTATGGTGAGTAACTAATGCATTTGATGTGTTGTTTTATTAAATACCCTTTTGTGTTTATATAATCTTATTTAAACTTCTTGGGGTTTCTCCAATGTATTCTTTCTGGCAATCATTACAGGTGATAGAGCAAATTCCTCCTTCAAGATTTAGCACATTTTGTATTGATTAAGTATTGATTTATATATATAGTTTTTAAAGGATTTTTTATCCAATATTGTTTCTTATTTCTATAAATGTTATTTTTACTGAGTACATATGTTTGAGTTACTATCCGTGCTTTTATTTTATTATCAGAAACACAGTTTTTCTTTAGTGGGACTTCTCAATTTAGGCCAGTTCTTATTAATTTCAATGTTTAAGAAAATACTTAACCTTGTGTACCCACTAAAAATAACATTTATAATAATAAGAAATATATATATATATATATATATATAAAGAAAATATCTGTTATTAATACTAGTTGTTAATTTCTGTTAATAATCTCAGTTGTTAGGAAATTTTTGTCCCATAAAAAAACTTTATATGTTGTATCTAAAGAACATCTGTCTATATTTCTGAGATGAGGTATTGTAATTATTTACACTATTTACATTGTTCAGACTGTTGTCCTCATCTTCATTGCTATATTCACAACGTTTCAACCATTGTATGCTCCAGCCCTCTTCAGGATTTGTCTATATTTTTGAGATGACATATTGTAATTATTTACACTATTTAGATTATTTGGACTGTTGTCCTCATATTTGTTGCCATATTCATGTTTCAGCCATTGTATACTCCTGCTTTCTTCAGGTAGAACAATCTATTCCAGTGGACAAAATAAAGGGTTCAATTCAAAATTCTAATCACCTGAAGAAGGCCGCAGTGAACAACAGCCAAAACGTTGTGAATATCACAACAATGAAGAGGACAACAGTCCGAACAATGTAAATAGTGGATCTAAAGAGTAAATGCTTATGGAAGGTCTGATGAACTCATTAACATAAAAAAACATACTACAAAAATTTTGTCTGTACAAAAAGTCAGATTGAAATGGTTAGAAAGAAATCTTTTTACACTTATTACAAAATATTATGTTGCTGCTGCTGCTGTTATTTCTGTAATTGAGTCAAAAGAATAATTCAGTCCTCAATCTCAAATGCATGTGTAAATTCAGTACAAATCATCAGAAAAGCTGGTCAATGGAATTGGTCTTGGATTTATTCAGTCCAACCCACTATGGCCTTCTACAAACAAAAGATCTTAACTGCTCCTCCTTAATAAACCAAAACATATAAATCAAAAACAAAGCAAATCTTAGCATTGAAAATCATTTTTGGAAAATATTTGAGAAACGTATAAATATTAAAATTATGAAATTTATAAGTATGTCTTGTATAATAATCGAGAGGATAATCACATGTTAACCATAAATTTATAGAAGAATTCTATCATAAGCCTATCAAAAATAATTACTTCCTTCTTAACACTAGTGAGAAGAATCTGTATTGTAGCCATAAAAATGAAATCCCAACCTATTGACAATTCCTCCAAGACTTGCTCTATAGCTTTGGTTTTCTTCTGTCCAATAGAAGCTGGTAACTTCATCTGAAATAGAAAACAAAATAAAGTCGCATAAAAATAAGAAAGTAACATTTAAAAATAATAATAATGATAATTAGAGGAGGTGTGGTTGGTCTAATGGTTAACAGTGCAGAGTTCAAATTCCAACTGAGATAGTGTGTAGTTCATTCATACTAATGCCCTTGGAGGAAAAGCATAATTCCATCTCTTACTGATAGGTTAAATAGCAGGACAACCTTGGCTGGCAACCAGTATAAGAGAAAAACAAATCTGTATTCAAAACCATGGAGAAAGCCACTAGAAACCACTCTACTACCATTCCCAAGAATAATGATGGCAATGAACAATTTGCACATGTTAACATATTGACTGTTAAACTACAAGTTATCTCATTTTTGTGGTCTTGTCATCAAAGCTACAACCACAAGATTTTCGTTGTCTTTATCACAAATAACTGGGTACATGTTGTCTAAGGCAGAAAAGAAAAACCAGACTGACAAATTAAAAAGCAAACTCTTTTCACCAAAAAAATTTACTGAGAATATAATGTATAAGTGAAGCATTTGAAAAAAAAAATTAATTGCCTCAGTTGGCTGTTATAAAATTGGCATTTGAAGCCAGATCTTGTAATTGACCTCTGGCAGTTAATGTCTTAAAAAAAAGAGAAGAAAACCGTGGAGAGCTGTGATAACCTATATCTTGAACGGACATGACACTTAAAGAGGCAAGGGAGGATACTAATTAGATGATCTTTGAAAATTAAACCCAATGCTAACAGTGATATAGGTAATTTGTGATTATCACTTGATAGATTTTAATTTAGAACCTGAATCATCTTTTAAAATAAGGAATCACCAACAGTCTTGGTGAGTCTGGTTAAAAAGTGAAAGATCATGTAATCAGAGTACAAAACTAATGTTGTCCCACTGATGGTAAGAGCATTAGTTTGGGACGAATGGTCAAGTATTTTTAGGATGATGACAGGACAGGACAAAATTTTTAATTAGAATTTTATTATATTTATAAGGAGGCACTGTGGAGTAATGGATAGCGGCTTGGCTTGAGGAAACGGAGAGCTGAGGAGAAATTCCAGTCAAATTCCATTACATTCACTTATGTGCTAATACCCTTGGGAAAGGTATTAATCATTTTCTTCTCCCCCCAACTATGGGTAAATAACAGGACAGACTGGGTTCTATAGCCTTGGATGGCAACTGGACTATCGCAACCTACTGCAGGGAAAAAAATCTGCCTTGTCAGTCATGTATCGAAATATACATGATCACTTAAGCGTTTATAACGCATGGCACATAACTGACTGACTGATTATATTAATTCTAAAATTAACTAATTTCTTAAAATAAAAAAAAAAAATCTTACTTGTCATCAATTGAGGTGGGTTTTTAATAAATATGGCATGCATACACATGCACGCAAACATACAGGCAAAAATAGAAACAAAACTTAAGTGTTCCTTTTTAAACTAATAAATGAAAACCTGTTGGAGTAATGGATAGCAGCATGGATTGAGGAACTGGAGAGCCGAGTTCAAATTCCAGTTGAATCCATTATGTTCATTTACATACTAATACCCTTGGGAAAGGTACGAATCCTCTTCTCCTCTCTCCAGCTATAGGTAAAGACTGGGTTCTATAGCCTTGGATGGCAACTGGTCTACCACAAAAAGAAATGGCAACCTACAGCAGGAAAAAAATCTGCCTCGTCAGTCATGTATTGAAAGATACATGATCTCCTAAGTGTGTATCACTCATGGCACATAACTGACTGACTCACTGACTGAATGAAAAACAATAGCTGAAGGGTTTAAATTAAGATATTTGTAATTATTTATTTCTAAATGTGAAAAACATTAAGATCTAATTGTAAGAACTAATTTTTCTTTAACAAAGGAAGAAAATTATATTTTTTTCTGTCAATTCACCAAAATTTATCTTTTCTTTTTTGAACCTGAAAGAACCATTAGCAAACAATATTTGTGTAATGTTTTCTGATTATCATAAACTAAATGAAATTACATAATTTTTGTTAGCATAATATCTTTTAGAGGCTCTAATTTTTAATCATTTGATCCCAAGCAAGGCAAAAAAGTCACTAAGACGCAAAGGGTTACTGAGTATGAGAGAATATAAGAAAAAAATACCATTAAAGAGAGAAAACAACAAAAGAACTAGAATTAAGAAGATAGGTAACAATTGACATTGCATTTAAATTTTTGAAGATCAAAGTTGACTAGAATTTAAAAAGCTGGAAGAGAGTTCCACAAGCAAGAAGTGCGACAAGAAACTGTTAGCATAGAACTCAGTTACATCTAGCCATTTTAAATGTAAAATGATGAGATCTTGCCACCAATCTAGTACAGCACTTAAAGTCTATGTACCATCAAGAAATAACTTCAAGAATAATGCAGTTTCCTGTTCAATGGAGCCAATTGTTTCTGAGCAATCTTTAACTAAGTTAATTGCCTTGGAAAAAAAGTCTGTTCAAGAGAGGTAATGCCTTGTGCATTAACTGCTAATTACAGAGTTATTTCCCTTTTTCAAAATACAAAAATCCTAGGAATAAGCAGATCAGAATCTTTGAAGATTAATGATAATTTGCATTTGTAAATAATTATAATATATATTACATAAATAAATAGGAAGTGACTTGATATTGAGCTGAGGCTGCCAAGTGCAGCATTTAAGCAAAATTGTAAAAGAATCTTATGAATGTCTTGCAAAATTTGAATCATTTTAACCAGTTACTTCCAATGGAATTCACTGTGAATTTTAAGCTCTAGTCAAGATAAGAATAAAGTTAAAGAAAGGAGAATTGCTCCTCACCCTCTGGCTGCGTAGTGAAACACCTGATTGTTTGTAATCTGGGAATTTAATGCCTCCAGTCTCAGGAGTTACCTGTTTAAAAGATATATAGAATCATATAGAATTATATATATACTCAGACAGAGAGATCTATAATAATAATCAACTGCTACAATAAAATAGAATAAATAATACAGATAGTGTATAAAAATCTTGGAAAACAAAGCATGCATATAACAAATGCAAGAGTTCTTAAATTCTGTAATTTACAGATGAGTCATTATGACTCCAAAAGTTCTTCAGATTATTGACCTCTTTTTTTCTCTATTGATTTCAGATTATTGATCTCATTCTTTTTTATATCATTTATATTCCAACTATTGTCCTCATCTTTGTTGTTGTTATCACAATGTTTTGGCTGTTGTGCTATCTGGCCTTCTTCAGGTGTATATCGAACTACAGGGAATTCTGAATTGAATCTTTTATTTAATCTACGGGGATAGACTGTTCTTGTTCCACTGTCCATGAACAGTCTATTCCTGTAGAAACATGATAACAACAAAAAAGAGGACAGTAGCCTGAATATAAAGAATGTAAGTAATGATATCTCCTCATCCTAGAAATTCAGATAGAAACTAATTTTTTTTTTTTTTTAGCCTATATTTTACCATTTTCAACAGTAAAAATGAAATTAGCAAACCCCTTCAAGAAGAAAAAAAAGAATCCCCTTTCTTCCATACTGTTTATACACCTGATAAAGGCTGGAGAAGAGACTGATTAAAACAGTGTGGTAAGAAAAACAAAAAAGAACAAGGCTAATAATGGGAAAAACTCTTGAGATGATCAGCACTTAAATATAAATTTTGAATATTTCATTTGCTCAGCTTTTAAGCATTCAATTTAAAAGCTTAAAGAAAAATCACCGGAGTTTCAAATGTAAAATAAACCAATGATAAACTGTACTTGATAACCATATAAGTACATTCTCAACATCTCATGATAGTCTCAGCTGCTTTGTCATTAATGATACAGTGTAATATTTGTATCCTTTGGTAATATTATCTTAGTTCTGTCTAATAAGACCGCAGAACAAAATCTTTCATGCACAAAATTATTGTGTATTCACTTCTAGACTCAAATTCAGCTGTGAAGGTGTGTTGCTTTGGAAACAATTGTTCACATCTTCTCGTAAGGATGTGAAGGACTCTCACTTTTTCCTCATGGATGAACTGATTATACAACGTTCTCTCATCTCATCGGCGTGTGTGTGTGTGTGTATATATCCTATGTTCAGTTGGGTTGACTAATTTATATATCAATGCATCTACCGATATCCTTTAAGGCTCAATTCTGTACTTAGTGGCTATGAAAACACCTCTGATACACCTTTTGATATTCTGGTTTGACACTAAGTGTGAAGCTGACACTGGTATCTCTTAAATCAAGGAGTTGATCTGTGGTGACACCAATATGTTGTGGACCCACCTTAGTGAATATATTCACCCTAAGGTGAGCCCACAACATATTGGGGTCACCACATATCAACTCCTTGATTGACACTAAATTCAATTCAGACATTTGATATTTCCTGTTGTGAATCACATATTACACTTTATTTTAATGAGGTGCAACTTATGAGCAGACAAACAGTACCTTGTTCGTTAGTTTTTACATAGAAAAATGTTGAAATAAATGGTTTTAGGCTGTAGCTTGAAAAAGACAAAATATATTCAATAAAATTTTTGGTTCAATAATTTTTCAAAGTTATTGGATTCTGAAAGCGAATATCATGAGTTAATTATTGTCCAGTAATGAAAACTTTGTTCAGGGTTTAAAAAAAAAAGTTTGAAACTCTAAAAAAGAAACAATTTGAAAGAATTGTTGACTAGACTAAAAAGATGTTTTTAAAAATGAAACAGACACTACAAACCCCTCCTTCCTTCAGTTTCTGTTGTTGGTAAACTTTCTTTTTGGTTGTTTTCCTTTCAACACGTCGATTATCAATGTTACTGTCAGCAGCTGTAATCAACTTCTGCAAGTCTTGTGTCTTCTTTTCACGTTCTTTTTTACGTAATTCAATCTTCTTCAGTTCTGCTATTAAATGCTCCTCTTCCTCAACCTAAAAAAAAAGAAAAAAGAAAGAAATTCTTCATTTTGGAAAAAAAAAACAAAAAGATATAAAGTGTGAAAATGTTATTTATTTAATCTTTAATCTGGTAAAAATTTAAATGCAATATCAATCACTATCTACTGTCCTCCCAATTACTCTTTTTTCTTCCTGCTCATTATTAATCTTTCTGTTCCTAATTCTTCCGTGCCTTGTAACCCCTTGTGGCTTTACTGCCTTGCACTGGGTGATACTGATTTTAAAAAAATTTTTCAATTTATAAAACCTGGAGATAAAGATATCAGAAATGTCTCTCGAATGAATAAAGAAGAGGATATATTTAAGCATTTCAACAATTTGAAATTATTTAGTGGGAAGATATTTTACACTAAAACTCATTTACTTTGGAAAAAGAAACCATTTTATAGTCGATCTGAAAAGCAACCCGAGAAATTTTTGTTCCTCAATGTTTCACAGAGAATGAAATTTAAAAACTATATTGAACATTTTTTTTAATTCTTCATGTTTAATAATTTTCATAAATTTAACTTAGAGCTTAAGAAATTTGGATTCTACATTTTCCCAACTTTTGTCTTAAAAAGCAAATTATTGAATTACAAAAGATAATCCTATTTTATGGGTGTTTTATTTTTTTGCAGCATCTTTGTACTACAGAGAGTGACAAAAATACCACACACATATACCTCCTACATAATGTTAAGATATTAGCTAGATGAAGACACCATTGCTACTATCTTACCATTATGTGGGAGGTATTTCCAATACACCCTGTATGATAGCAAATTTATTTTTGCCAATGTCGAAATTTTGGGCAAGCAAGAAATCAATATACATGACAAATCACAAAGCTGTAACTGTAATCTAATGCCCAAAATAGATGCCGTTTCATCTAATACCCAAAACGGATGCTGTTTCATCTAATGCTCAAAACGGATGCCGTTTCATCTAATGCTCAAAACGGATGCTGTTTCATCTAATACCCAAAACGGATGCCATTTCATTTAATGCCCAAAACGGATGCCATTTCATTTAATGTTAAAAAAATGGATGCCATTTCATCTAATGCCCAAAATAGAACTGCTTAATATAAACTGCTTTAATTCTAAAGTGGCTATAAAAGAGGATCTGTAAAAGTTATTTAGTTATTTAACACCAAAATCTGAAATTGAAAAGACAGCAAAAAAACTCACTTGTTTTGGTGTACGGTTAAAGAGTTGAATCAACTGAAGTTTCCTCTTTCTTTCATGATTTGCATCAAATACCCAAATTTTAGGTTCTTGTCCTTGTGTAGCTCGAACCTAGAATGAAAGCATAAGACAGATAAAAGAACAGATAAAAAGGTAAATCACATTTTTTTTACTTGAGATGTGTTTATTTGTACACCTTTTTTTTTTCAATAATAAGAATTTTAAAAAAATTTAAAACAGAAAAAAATCTCTCCTCCTTCAAGTTACGTCTGTCAATGTGTGATTTTTTTAAATTTTTTTTTTTTTTACAATGATGTACAAGGCCCAAGTGCCACTCAAGATAGAGGGTTACAAAGTAAAAAGCACCACCCCAAGCAAGGAGATAATGCAACCAAGATGCAAGAGGCAACTGGAAGTGAAAGAGAAGGAAAAGGCTTCAGAAGAAACTGGGAACCCAATCCTAAATAGGAAATAAAAAATAAACTTCTACTCCTGTTAACACAGGGGAAATGTGTGAACCAGACAACAGGCAAGCATATCTATCCCTATTGAGAAAAGAAAGAAAAAAAATATCTCATCAACTACTCCATGGTAATCATCACTTTAAATGCTTTTATCATCATCCTTGAATTATGAGGATTCACTGTTTTTAGGATACTAATAAGATCAGTCAAAATAAAAATGACTATTTGTGATCATCAATGCTGTAAAGGTCTGCTTGATTAGTCAGATATGGAATCTTTGCAGTACAAGAAAGTTACTAGTTTCTGTACAAAGGAGCCCAGGTAAGCCTTTTTGAGCCTTCAATGGCAACCAGTCTATGACACTATAACTGGAATTCAAGAAAGAATACATAAGAATAAATGCAATGAATTAAACTCGTTTTCTTCCTTACTTTAACCAGAGTATTGCAGATGTTGTAATATCGTTCCTTCAAATCTTCCACACTTCTATTGGGATACTTTTCTCGGTCCCATCGGTCGTGAATGAGGATAAACCTAAGGTCAAAGCGCCGACACAGATCAAATAAGTGGTCAGTTTCATGCCGTGTCCAGTTGTCCTCATGAAGATGCTGTTGATACTCAAGGTCAGAGTAGGTAGGAACATCAACAGTCTGCCAAGAAAAATCAAATTATTAACAAAGAGAATTTGTTTCTTTGTAACATCAATACAAATATCTTCACATGAATTCAAATGTCAGATATGAAGACGCATGTCAAATAAATGGGATAGGATTCAAACTTGAATATACGATTATTGCATAAAGTTTTAGATATAAAAAAATATTTGGAAATTAAGTGCTTCAAAAAGATTTATTAACCAGAGTTGATAGATTTATTCGCATTTAATGTGATCCCTTATTTTTCTATGCAAATAGGATAAATACATTTTACTTTCATGTAAAAAGCAATTCCTACTTTACTATGCCTGGAAAGTTTGAAATGATCAGATTGCCATTTACACAAGACAATATCTTTTCATTAACATTATTTTAGAAAGCAGTGTAATCTTTGACCACTTTATAGTAGGTATCCCAAACTAGCCATTTTAGTGTGGAACCAATGTATATAGTGATTACTTCCATGATGATGATTAAAACTATAAAAGCTTTCAGCTATGATATGCAGAGGGAACTGATCAAGGGCTCAGCATCCCTACAACCGCAACCAGTCATGAGTCATCATTATCATGATGAAGAATAATAAATTATTATTATTATTATTCATGATGATGATGGTGGTGACTGATGACCGTGTGCGGTTGCAGAGTTGTTGAGCACCTACTTGATCAGTTCACTCCACATATCTGGGCTGAAAGCCAGAGAGGTATTCATTTATTCAGCATGTCTTGGTCAAGTAGACCTGACGGAGCCCATTCCTCTCCAGGTCAAACTACAGCTGATGCCCTTGACAGCTCACCTTGGTCAAAGATTCCATTAGGGTAATCCACCACCCAGGTCATTGACTTCAGTCTACAAAACCTTTTGTCCAGCAATGCCATGTCATCACCACATTAACTGCATATATAGTTATGGAACCCAGTTTACTCCACTGTGCTAAATGGACAGTGAATTTACAAGAAGGTCCATCCACCTTTTTTGACAGGTCTTGTCTTTAATCGTACTGGGTATCTAGCCACCCTCCTCACCAGGAAGCATGGTGGGCAAGCCAGTTTAGTTGTTGATGACCTAACCATACCAGATTATACGGTACAAGTAACACTCATAGAGTGACCCAATGTCCGATTATAGACACAAGCATAATTACCAAAATATTACACCCATGTATAATGCAAACTTTGGTTTTAGAATTTCTCACATTTTACATGAATAAATATTATAGACATGCAATAAACTCATGACAAATTTATAGTTATAAAATATGAAATTTAATGCAGTAAGCCCTCAGTTTAATGGATCCTGGTATAACAGATTTAGAATTTAACACATTATTATTCTTTGATTATTCTATACCTCGACCTTCCAAAACATAATGTGTTGCTATTGTTTATTTTTTTCAGTTTTATTTTAGCTACAAAAATTGATACTATATTTTTTAGGAATATCATGTGTATCAGTCATTGATACTATTGTTGTGGAGTAAATAAGACACCCCCAATAACACAAATGAACTAGGCAAGATGCCTTAAATAAAGAACTCAAAGTGAGTCAGGTGAGGCCCATTGGAGTCAGTTGGGAAGAACTCTAATGACATCGCAGCTAGTAGCCCAAGCAAGAAATAATTTTATAACCACTAAGAGTGAGTTATAACAAATATATAATAGTTTACCTTTCATTTTTTTTTTATAATAACCTACATTTTTTAATTATGCCTAAAATCTTATACAAACAGAGACAGACTTCATAAATTTTAAATAAGATTTTGGGCCAATCTAAAAAAGCTAAGATCCACTGAACTATACTGTGAATTTAATAATTTATATTAGAGTCGCTTTCCATATTAAAAGCAAAATTTGAGTCTCTTAAATTATGGGTTTAGTGTCTCTTTTTTTTTACCAGAAAAAAAAAAGATTTTTATTCTTTAGTTTGGTGGTGACAAACATTTTTGATAAAATAAAAATGTAAAAGGTCCTTTAAGAAAATTACCTTGTTAAATCTAGCAAATGGGTAATCTTTTGCTTCATCTGCTACTCGCCTCCAATGCAAGAAAATAGTTCCATCCTGGGAAAATGAAGAGAATATTATAGACAAGGGGAGATAATTATAAACTCTAGAGAGAACTGATATTAAGAGTGTTGATACATTCCAAAAGAGAGAGAAAAAGAAATTTTATATATCGAGTTTATTTTTTGCTGGTCTTAAAATGAACCAGTTCATTTAGTAATAAATTCAACATGCTGACAATTGGTTAATTTTATTTTCACAAACATTTTAATGTCCTGAAACTGAAAGTGTCACTTGTCTAAGACATATTTTATTGGACTAACAGATCGCAACATCTATCAGAGAGATGAAATTTAAATTTTTATTATTCCAAAATTTTAACCCATCAGCAGATAGCTATTAATGTCAACAACTTAGCACAACTAGTTATTAATTAAAAAAATTAGTAATTAACGTATAATATTATCCATAACTACATGTACAAGAATGTCATTTTGATAAAAGTTAAAAAATAAACATAAACATGTAAAAAATATGTATATTGTTGAAAATTCGTTTTTCCACAATATAGCTATTTGTGATATGTTATAGTGCTTATTACCTAAACAATAATAATAATGAATAATGTTTTTTAAACATTAAATTATATTTAATCACATCTCTCAAATAGATGTTGTGATCTGTAAACATTATTTATTTATCAGATTGCTTAATTACAAAAATAATTTTATATATCTGCATTCTAAAAACTAATACAATTAAAACTAATGCCATGCAATATGTATCATTTAGCAATTTATAAAGAAATAAATATGAAAACAATATCTTATTCATAAATTTATAAACATTTACTAAATTATTAAAATATGTGAACCAACTATAAGGAACTATAAGAAAGTTAAAAAAATAACCATAAATATGTAAAAAATGTGTATAATGTCGAAAATTCCTTTTCCACAATATAACTATTTGTGCAATGTTATAATGTTTATTACCTAAACAATAATAATACTGAATAATGTTTTTTAAACATTAAAGTTTATTTAATCAAATCTCTCTAATAGCTGTTGCGATCTGTAAAAAAGAAAAAGTTTTATTTAAAGGTAAAAGATATCCACTGAAAGGATAGGTTTTAAATATTTCTGACAAACTGCAAAATTTTAGCTTTATCAAATTATATTTTAAATTTATAATAGACATTGAGTTGGTAATTTCTAAATGATTTGAACATCAGGTATGTTTTGTTTTTGTTGCATCTCATTTTTGCAGCCATTCTAGCATATGTTGAATGTAATTCAGAGTTAATTAGGACAGACAGGGTTCTATAGCAACTGGTCTAGGAGAAGGAAAACTCTGAATTCAAAATTGTATGTAGCCCTGGCAAAGTACATACTATGCAGCTAAAGGAAAGGATTGTTCACACTCAATCGATGATCCCAATTACGGTAGACTAAACAGTCAAATGAAAAGTGAAAAATATTTTCAAGTACGGCGCCATCAACGAATCAAAGTTAAAGCTCACCTTTCGAGCTGGATTTGTAAAAGGCATCCATTTCCATGGACGAACTTTCTGGCTGCCAAGTTTAGCCTTTAATTGCTTGTATCCTTGATTAATATCCGTTGGTAAAATGGGTGGAGAATCCTTCATGTATCTGTTAAAAAGAAATGAGCATCATTGGAACAGACATCATTATGCATTCATTTTGTAACAAGCAAATGTTATCAATTATCTTGCTGAAGAATGAAGATCAATCATCATACTAAGCCACATTCAGTGAAACATATTTTAACTGAATGTAAGCACCTGTAAGACAAATACTACAAGGAAACAAACATGAAAAAACTATTTGAAAATACCAAAACCATCAACATAAAAAATAAGTTTAGACCAACACATATAACATAGGTTTATACCAACACATACAACACCTACAACAGATCATGTAAAGACCATATATCTGAAGGCATACAATTGCATTCAAAATATATGTAGTTGAAGCCATAAAACTGTATTCAAAATATTTAGAATTAAATAACCCATAATGGTTGATATGCTGGTAAAAAGAATCTAACCTAACCAATTACCTTTCAGTTTCATTTTCAATATGATCACAGTAAATTCTTGTTTATGTTATGTTGCAATTATACAACTTCATATTAGATAAACACAAACATATTTGCCTCCAAAAGAAACAAGAGTTTATTAGAAATAAATATGGCTGATGCCAACCTCCAGGAGAGTGACTCATTAAATATTCTCAGCCTAAGGATCTCTGCTAACATAAAGTAAATACTGAAGCAATTGCTAGGTTTGCTGCTAGGAAAGTTGGTTCACTGTGCTATGCTAAACAATTTTTCTCACCAGAATCTATATTACACCTTTATAAATCTCCATGCATTGAATATTGCTGTCACATCTGGTTTGGTGCTTCTACAATATATTTAAAGATTCTTGATAAAATACAAAGAAGTATCTGCATTATTATAGGTCCTGACCTGGCATCTTGGCTTTAGTCACTTTCTCACCACTATAACTTACCATCTCTGCACCTTTTCTATAAATATTTTCATGATAACTGTTCTGATGAGCTTTCCTCTTTGGTACCAAGACTTTATGAATTTAAACACAATACTAGACTGGCAGCTAGTTGAAATGGCTAGAATTAACTGTAAGATCTATGCTAAAAGTTTCTTCTCTCGCACTTCTCGCTTGTGGAACTCTCTTCCGTTTCTTGCTTTCTAGTCAAATTTGATCTTCAAAAATTTAAATGCAGTATGAATTGTTATCTTCTGTTTTCCTATTCTTGCTCTTTTATCTTCTCTCCTTAATAATGTTTTTCTTTTTCTGATATTCTCACTCAGTAACCACTTACATTGTAGTGGCTTTATTGCCTTGCTCAGGGTCATTAATTATGCTCACTCTTGTGGCCCTATGAAGGATTGAACTCATCATTTTTGGCTAACAAATTTCTGAAGATATTAGACTCCCACTCCTCAGCTTAATGGATGTGTTCTAAGCGCTGGCAATAGTAGCCTTCCTTCCTGCCAAAGTGGATTTAATCTTTAGGCATTATTTAAGTCTACTGAAATTTCTCCTCAGTGAATTTATTTCTGTTTTCTGGTGAAGTGCTATCGCTCGGTTTATTGAACAAGATCCTGTTTTATCCTCGGGTAGCAGAGCATAGTTCATATAAAAATGACAAGTAGCTACAAATAGGAAGATTTTAGGCCCACCAGTGCTTATCCCAAAAAAGTACCATGCTTGAAAAAAAAGAAATGAAATTCTAGGAAATGGCAACAAATATAGATGTGATGAAAAGAGCTCCAGCTGTGTCTTTGAGTCTAAATGGTTAATCCAGAGAAACAGTGCTGGAATTGAACACTAATAAATTAAACACAGACGAGGGTATATGATTAAAAATAAAAATAAATTCAAAGTCTTATGTTTACATGCTAAGTATAAATTTCATGAAGTAAAATTAACAAAGTTTTAAAAAGCATGCTTTCAATCTTACATTCTTTTCTAGTTACTCATATGGTATGAAATATAGTTACTTCTATTTAAACTCTATACTCACTTGTTGTCTGTCCAAAGAAGACCCCATAGTTCTCTGTGCATTCCCTCAGGTCGTTTAAAAGTTGGGTCGGATTTTTTATTTTTATACTAGACAATAGAAAAAAATAACAGATAATAATACATTTTAGTTTTCATCAAATTCATTTCTTTTATTGAAGCAACAAATAAATTATATATATTTATTTTTGTCTACTGGCCCAAATATTTGAGAAAAATATATTCAGGCTGGTAGAGGAAAATAAATAAATATGCTGTTTAAAAAATAAATAGAGCATCTAATCAAATATGTGTATCCACTAAAAATAATGTTTAAAGTGATAAAATCTGTTGGATTATAAAGAGGATGCATATATCCGGTTCCATATGTTTGGGTTTTATTAAAATTCTAAAAATAACTTTTTAAAACAATAAAAATTATTAAAGAAGCATACAGTAATAGTGGCATCAAGAGAAAAACAGTCCTTTTCAGAAACTCTGCTTTTTTGTGTTAAACTTTATTGAAAAAAATCAACTATTGTATAATAAGATTATTTATTAGTCTAAACCCATATTTACATAGTCTCAATTTAAACTGACACCTATTTTTTGACATATATTGAAACTATAATTACAAACTGATTTTAAAAAAAGAAAATTTCACTGAAATATGTCAGAAAATGTTCAAGTTTTCACCTGAAATCAAGAAAATATAAGCTAAGCAAAATGATCACAATACATAAAAACGGGTGTCAATTTAAACTGAAGCCAGGAGAATATGGGTTAAATTTGCTGTTACTATTCTCCAGTAAGAATATATTAAAAGACAAAATATAACCTGAAATTGAAAATACGACACCCCTAAACAAAACCCCAAAAAATGTCATTGTAAAATTATAGAACATAAAAAGAAAATTCAACACAAACTAAATGTTATTAATTGACAACAAATCTAATGCTAACAAGTAAAACAAACTTACTTTTTTATCATCCATTAAAGTTTTCCTGGTGACAGGTTGATGGTAGGGATCGCCATCTAATTCCAAGATATCACGGACATCACTTCTTGTAGACATGGTTACAATAGCCTCTGGGAACTGAAAAATAATCATAAAATGACTGTAATGTTTTATTTAATAAAATATAAGGTACAAAGTATTTAGATGATTTACACAAGTGAACTAAAATTTGCTGCCAAAATAGTTTTTTTTTGGCAATCTTTAATCTTCGTGACTGCAAAAAGAACAGCAGGTAAAAAGGATGTTTTTTTTTTCCCTTGACACTGTTATTATTTTAAATACCTTCACTCCTCGGCAATGTTTATTGTTTTAAAAACAATTAAAATTTTAATAAACCTAAACATACAATGAAAGTGAATTTATACATTTTTTTTTATTTTGTAGAATTTACAACATAAATATTAAACACTATTAGATTGTTTATTTACAAGAATAATTTTATTTACACTATTTACATTGTTCGAACTGTTGTCCTCATCTTTATTGTCACATTCACACTGTTTCATCCAATGAAAGATAAGGACAACAGTCGAGACAATGTAAATAGTGTCAATAGTTACAATACCTCATCTAAAAATACAGATGGAATAATTTTATATTTACAACATTCTAGAAAATAAGAAATTTGTATTAAAACTAATGCAATGCAATATTCATCATTTACCAATTTATAAAGAAATAAATATAAAAAAAAATTTTATTTATAAATTTATAAACATTTACTAAATTATTCAAATATATGAACCAACTATAAGGTAATCTTTATTAGTTACCATTTTAAAAATCAATTGGCAGCTAGCCAACCATTCCAGTAAACAATATAATAAATAGTGTAAATAAACAATCTAATAAATAGTATTTATTATTTTGTTGTCAATTCTCAAGAACAAAAATAATGTATAAATTTACTTTCATCATATGTTTAAGTTTTATTAAAATTCTAATCATTACTCTTTAAAACAATTGTTTCAAAAAGTAATGATTTGAATTTTAAACATTGCCTAGGAGTGAAGGTAGTTTAAATAATAGTGGTGTCAAGGGTAAACCATCCTTTGACACACATTTTCTATTTTTTTTTTCCTATATGTAAACCTACTTTTTTTTTTAAATCTTCATATAATGAGTAGTCTAAGTGAGTTTCACTTATTGTATCTGTGCCAGTAAAAGATCACATATCTTCTGAACTGCTTTTAACTGTCTGCTGCTACATTAGAATCATTAAAGGCTCTATGCACACAGATTGTAAAGTTGAGCAGAAAGAGGATTTAATAATAACTCAAAAGATGTTAGTGAAAAAGCATGACTGGGAAAAGAAAAACAAAACAATCCTGTCTGCTACATAATGGTTGGTGGTAAACAACAGTAAATTGAATTGTTTAAAAGATTTACATGATAAAAATTAGGTTCTGCATTCAATTTTTTAATATCAATTTCTCTTTAATTTATACATTCTTATTTCCACATTAGAAACGGTTTTCTGACAAAAAGTTTTGTTGGAATTTGTTTAGATGAAGAATTATCATTATTATATGATTTTCTATTCAAACCAACATGCTCATCTTGGTTGTTATGCTTACATTGTCGAACTCTTTGAGATGAGGAATTATCATTATCATATGCTTTGCTATTCTCACCAACATGCCCATCTTGATTGTTATGCTTAGAATGGTGGTTGGAACCTTTGAGATGAGGAATTATCATTATTATGTTTTTTACTATTCAGACCAACATGAACATCCTGGTTGTTATGCTCAGAATGGTGGTTGGAACCTTTGAGATGAGGAATTATCATTATTATGTTTTTTACTATTCAGACCAACATGAACATCCTGGTTGTTATGCTCAGAATGGTGGTTGGAACCTTTGAGATGAGGAATTATCATTATTATGTTTTTTACTATTCAGACCAACATGAACATCTTGGCTGTTATGCTCACAATATTTTGACTATTGTCCCCTCGAGTCTTCATACTTGGTAACTTTCTAAGACAGACACCTGAATGACATGCTGTGAGTATAACAACCAAGATGGGCCAGATGGTCTGAATAGCAAAGCGTATAATAATGAGAAAAAGTTGTTTTTCTTTCCTAAAACTGAAATTGGACAAACATATAATTACAGATGTTTGGATGAAACAGAAGGGTAATGTGAAATTTATAACCTATTTCACACAGCAGTCATTAACCTGTTTGAGTGATCCATCCATTCACACAAGCTCATTGCCTTCCCCTATCTCTCTTGCTCTCAATATGCCCTGTGAAGGTTAAGTTTTCCAAGCCCTCCTTCCTCATTATGTTTACAAGGAATTTCAGCTGCCTTTTTTTGATTCTGAGCATATGTGTTTTTTCAGTTGCCATTTTCTTTAAGACTTCCTTGTTGCTTACTTGCTCTGTCCATGGAATTTTCAGTATCCCTCTGTAGAACCCCATTTCTGCTCCTTCTAGTTTTCTCTTTATTTGTGAGGTGATTCCCTGCTGTATAAGAAGATGGATAACACATAGCAATCCAGCACTGTTTTCTTTGTTTCTAACAAAATTTTTCCATTTTAGTGACATGAAAATGATCACTTGTCATAAGCAAGTCCTAATTTTATTCTCATAGATAATAAAAAGCCAGATCAGACTAAAAATGGAATATTGCTGCCACACCTGGGCACAAGCTGCCAAATCCTCACTTTTCTGCTTCAACCAGGTTCAAAAGTGTTTGCATGGCCTTGTGGATGATGAACTGTTTTCCACTCTTCAACCACTTTCCCACAGATTGAACATTGTTAAACTTCTCATTACTATATTGCTATTTTCATGGCAGATGTTTGGGTGAACTATATTCCTTGGTTCTATCAATCCAGACATTCACAGCAAGGAACCACCATGCCACATTCAGGGAACTGACTCATCCTCATTCCCTTCATATTTCATTGGTAAGGAAGAAGTTCCACTCAGGTAGCTTTTTTCCCCTATAACTATTGCAATGTGGAATGAACTCCTGAGAAGATGCTTCCCTGATCACTATAAACTTCACCTCTTCAAGTCAAGGGTCAGCCATTATATAACCTACATATCCTCATAATATACAGCTTTTGCTACCTCCATGTACTCCCTTACAACATTCCCATTTTGTAACTCTCTACCTTGAGTGGTTCTTGGTCCTTGTATTGGGTGAACAATAATAATAAATATAACTGAGTGACTGAAAATTCTTTTTATACCTTGTAAGCATTTTTCTACTGTTTGTAAATTTCTAATCTTATTTTGGATTTTATTTTTGTTGGCTTTTTGAATGTTTTTTTAATCCCTCTGAAATTTTTACACACTAGTTATTCATTATTAAATTTTGAGTATTACTATAACGTAACATTTTTATGCTGCAGTCACTCCCAAAATCATTTCAACAATAGTACATAAATGTGTTATATCAATGAGATTCAAAAGTGGGTCTACACACTCAACAGGTTCCTAAATTTGCAATACACGAGCAAGTAAACTATGATTTTACCACTTTTCATGAAAGGATGTTGAATTATTTTTTTTCCTTTCTCTGCTTCAAGCTAACAATTTATTTATTTTATTTCTACTTTTTTCATAAAGAATGTTTCATCTTGTATGATTCCTGCGGATAACGACTGCATCTATGATTCATTGGATTGTTCTTTTTACATGAGGAGGAGTGCAACTGCCAACACCCACTCTCACTCATTCCTCCTTTTATTTTTACTTATTTATATTTTTATCTGAATTTATGGAATGAAGGGTTATCATTACTGACATATAGACTATTGTCCTCATCTTTGTTGTTATTATCATCTGATCACCTTTTTTCTGAATTCCAGAGATGAGATGAGATGAAGAGTTATCATTATTTACATACAGACTGACAACTTTCTGTCTAATTTTCTGGGAGGAGGAGTTATCATTATTTACAGGTGGACCCCATATTTGTTGCTGTTATCACATTTCAGCAATTATGCTCTCCAGCCTCCATCGGGGACTTGTCGATCCAGATAACTTCAAGGAATTTTGAACTGACCCCTTTATTTAATCTACAAGAGTGGTTTGTATTCAATCCACTTCTTGCCTCTTTCTTACACGCATACAACACCACACTGTAACCCTCTACCTTGAGTGGCTCTTGGGCCTTCTATTGGGTAAACATTAGTTTTAAACAAAAATGTATAGACTCACCTCAATTTTTTACGATTAGACAAAATATGAAATCTGTTAAATTTTTTCCAAGAAAACTATTAATTTATGCATGGAATTTACAGATACCATCACTAAGTTCTCAATGATCGTAAGTTCTGTGGAGCGTTCTTTTATGCTTTTTCTTTCATGATGTAGATGACCATGGTTCTCCACAACTTCTTATCCTTTTTTTTGTATTTCTTGTCCTTGTTTTGTTACTTGCTACCTATTCATTCAAAAAAGTACAGTTACGTAAAAATCTCTCTAGGAACCACTCATGAATTTTATCCTCACTGGGTGTCACACTAATTTTTCCTTGCGCCCGACTTGGCTACACTTTGATTTCGAAGCTCGTGTGTATAGAACAAACAAAAGAAAAAAATATGATTTCAAAATATTTTTGCCAGATCTTTGTTCCCTTTTCTCAGTAAAAAAAAGAAAAATAAGCTCAAACTGATTTTAAACAAACAGAAACAATTAAATGAAAAGAGTTATTCGATCATTTAAAAAGGATGTGAAAAATGTAAAAATAAACAATCAGTTTAAAAATTTTGTTTAAAATGAAAAGAATATCCAATCTCAGAAAAAACCAATATTGGAGAAAAGAAAACTAAAAGCAAATAAAAAGTACAAAACGTAAAAAATACTACTATCGTAAGCAACAATAATTTCTTAAAAAACACAAGGCTAAATATATATAAATGCACAAATGTTAAGCAAATACGTTAAAGTAAATGCGAGTACGATTTAAAACGCATAATCGATTGATACTTACCGAATATAAAACTAAACTTTATAGATAATTACGTACTGCTTTATTAATCGGTGAAAACTAGGAAAATGTCCCCCTTGGATAAACGAAGGGACATAACTCTTAGCTAAGGTTGTCTATAAAATGTGAAATTCCGTTTTCACTTTTAAAAGAAATGGTCTACTCAACTGTAAACAAAGTATATGTTTGTTTTTTAAGTTATAACCATTTCAATTTCCCAGCATTTCCCATAACTGTATATACTAAATAATAGCTACTAAGTATATTAACTAATCAACTTAACTTAATCAAATTTAAATTATAAGCTACTTGAAAATGATATGTTTTAAAATTTTTGTTCGTACAACCGAAGACGTTTGAAAAAAATCATCGTACTGTATTTTTGTGCATATATCTTATGATAATATCTATGTTTTCCCAGACAACGACAAAAATATAAATTCTAATAAGAAATTTTTTTAAAAATATTCTGTTTCTAATGTTGCCGGTATGATTTTCCTTCGCCTTGACAAAAGAGGAGTTCGTATTGAACTTTAACCTTCACACCATTTTTTTCTTTCAGTGTTAGTGTTTTTAGTTTAACTCGCTTTAAAACTTTCAGCAAACATATGTTCAAAACAGCTACCCACTTCATAAGCTAAAACATCATGTTGTTTAATTCATTGGCTACAAAACACGTTTTTTTGCAGACTTTAAGTAAACGAAAGAAAAACTTATTTCCGTTGTTAAAATCGAACTTTTTCTCTTCTAACTATTATAAGAGAACAAGAGGTGCCACAAAGTTTGGGTTACTCAATGTATCTTGGTTCCAACGTAATTTTTTCGCATTTCAAGAGAGAGGCCAGTGTTCCCAAAAAGTTACTATCAGTAGCTCACATAGAAAATGGCAAAAGTTCTCTCAGTTGCCGGCTTCTTTGGTAACAGTCGAGAACCCTAACAAGAAGGATTATCAGAACAACCTTTCAAAATCACGGCAATTGATTGCCGAATATGAAGCCGTTCGTCAAGCATCTTTGTCAGGGGGTGGGCCTCGCTCTATTGAGCGGCATGTCAAGTTTAATCAGAAACTTCTGGCCAGAGACCGAATAAATTTGGTTCTTGATGAGGAATCGTCTTTCTTGGAACTTTCGCAAGTGGCCGGAATGGGGATGGAATATGGAAATGTGCCCCAAGCTGGAATGTTAGCAGGTAACTTTTTTTAAGACTCCTACGTTTCCATTCGGTATTCATTGAGAAAAATATTATTAAGGTAGTAACTAAGTTAAAAAAATAAATAAATAAAAAATACAGTGCTTATTCGTACTGCTATTATCTTCATGTTCAAAAGATCGATTTAGTCGTGACGACCATGCAATATTTTGAAATGTTTATTTTTATGCTTTCCTCCAGTATTTCTTTTTTCTTTCTTTCTTTCTTTCTTTCTTTCTTTCTTTCTGAAATGTTGATTATTCCTTAATTTTTAGTTCTGTATTTTTTTTGTATTAGTTTTGAATTGCATTTTTTCGCTGTAACACGATATTTTTTAATGCCATGCCTATGATCATTTCATAACTCAACACACTATTTTGGTATTTAAATTTAACCCATAGATTCATGCCTTTTCGCGGACATTAGTGAGAAAATGAATGCAACACTAATCCGGAAATCGAACTCATTTTGCAGATTCCTCAATCTGTGATAATATGTTACACTAAATTAGTTTGTTAATATTTTAATTATTTTGTTTGATAAAGCTCCAAAATTCCATAGCAATATTGAATATTGCCATTTGAATGATTGGTAATTAATAGCTGATATGTTCCTGTCAGATTGGGTGGCAGACAGTGTACAACAAAGAAATTCTAAACTTGAACTATGAAGACACCAATATTTTTAGGTTGTAAAAATTTGTTTTGTGGGGGGATAATCAATTGTTTAGTGATAAAAAGTCTTAATTTAACCCACAGCTGGGGAAGAATTAGTGTGTTCATGCTTTTCCTGAGGGTATTTGCATGTAACTGAATATAATGAACTCAATGGGAACTGGAACTCAGCTCTCCAATTAACAATTCTGAGCCATTATCCATTACACCACCTGTACATCCAAGCTTACAGCACCTGGTATTCCCAAGCAGCCACCCATTTAGGTATTGACCAGGCTTGATGTTGCTTAACTTTGATGATCATATGTGAACCTAAGCCAATATATCCAAAGAAAGCTAACATGAAACAAAATAAATAAAAATAGTGTATTATCAACCTGTTCTCATTGTTTACTAATTAGATATTCCATTGTTATGATAACACAAAACATGTTTTCTTATTGGTAATATTAACCATTTCCTTTATGGAGACATTGACCAATAAGCAGTCAGTGTTATTTTTAGCTGGAATTTATAAAATCTTTCTATTAAAACAATTTTTCAGGAAAATAGGTTTCTCAAGTTCACTTGAACTGTGATCATGCTTTCCAGTATTGATGGGAGTTTTCCTCCTAATTTTTTTTCTTTGAAGTAATGTTGAATACCAACATTATTATGATTATTTTCTGTTTGAGTTAATGGGCTATCCATTTTAGTTACTGCTGCTATCAAAAGTCCTAAAGTGATGTGGTTTCTGTTATTTGGTACAGTTCTTTGTTTGCGATTCTGTAGCACCAGTCCACAAAGTTCAAAGAAGGATGGTCCTTACTAAGACCTATAGGCTTCATTTGCTCAAAACTGTTTTTCACCATTGATCAGAGCAAGTGGTTATATACAGTTGACAGTTTAGATATTTCTGAATGAGTTTGGTGCCATGCACAACATCCATATGAAAGTCTCGATCTGACAAAATTATTTAAGAACATGAGTAGAGTTTATTCTGTTCAAGTTTCTTATCTCTGATACTGAATTTGTTACAACTGATCCATATACCAAGGTATTGGCATCAAGTAACACTTTTTATCAGCACAAGAATGAAATATCATTTACTCCGGCTCTCTGACTGATGAAGTCAAGTTGCATTGTGTTTTATATCATATAAGAGATTTCTATTTTTAATATTATGTTCAGCAGTATCATTTGATGGCCCCATGATTTCTTCCTTTATGTACTGTATTTTGCCACATATAGACTACATCCTAACTTTATCATGAAATATAAAATTGTGGGAAATTTCCAAGGGCCTGTTCTGGAAACCTTGACTGGAGATCTTGGTCATAACCATCGCTGAGTCTATTTTATGCTGCAAAACAAAACATTTTAGACTGTCTCCATTTACTTCCATTGGCCTTGATTATTTTAATGATCCATTCCCTGCTCTAAAATTTAAAGTGGAAAGTTGTCTGTTTTAACCAATGCTTTCTCTTTCACACTGTGTATGCAAAAAATTTTGTTTTTGGACATTTTGCCTATTTTCAGGAATTGACCATGTGCATTGATGCTTTCTCTCTCACTGTCATTTTTCTAGCAAGTGGATCATGGAGATAAGTTTGCTAGCCTCACACACCATACCTCCTTTCTCAACACAGGCTTGGGACCAGCTGTGGCGAAGTTAGGAAAACCTGGCTGAGATAGGGCTGACGAGGAGGGATGCTGCAGAAGAAGCCCAGGCTCATGCTCAATGAAGAGCTCTTGTTGCCCGATGTTCCATAGGGAATCAAAAGAACTTCCACACTGTAAATGCATAAAATTTAATTTTTGGAAATTTTGCCTATTTTCAGGAATTGGCCGTGTGCACGGACTGGAATGTCTAATCATGGCAAATGAAGCAACTGTGAAAGGAGGCAGTATTTATCCAATTGGAGTCAAAAAGCAATTAAGAATACAAGAAATTGGCCTGCAAAACAGGTTGCCTTGTATTTACCTTGTGGATAGCGGTGGGGCTTTTCTTCCTTTACAGGTGAGGAGCTTTGGTACTGTTCAGGGATTTATCCTTTTCCTACTGCTATTAATTACAGCTGAAACTTTTAAAGGTAATTCACTAAACTACATTTAAACAAAGCTACATGGCCATCCATCGAAAGTCACAAGTGATATTACTGTGCTTCTGCACCCTAAAATTCTAGTAGGAGTTGGGGAAAGCAGATTTGAAGAGAAAGGTGGGGAAAGCAAGTTATTTGAGTTAGGATACAACTAATAAATAAAACCAAACCATTCTTTATGTATTAAACTGAAACCAATTTTATAACAAGCAAATTATGAGAAAGAAATGTACAGATGTGTTTGTAGTAACATATTGTTACACTTTAAAGGTACAATAGATTGAGTCTCTTTTCAAAACAATGAAATATGTCCTAGGCATTGAAGTTGCATTTTGGAAGATGTCCATTCAACATCTTCTAGTACTGGTCAACCAATAAAAAAGACAAAAAGGATAATTCCCACAATGTTACTAAGAATAATTTATACAAAATCAAGCTCTTCATGAAAATGTATTTTTACATAATCTTTTGCACCCAAAGAAACATGTGAAGAAAATAGATTTATTTTTTTTTACTATTGTTTTCCCAATACAATGCCCAAGAGTCACTCAAGGTAGAGGATTACATAATGAAGTTTCTGTAGTTAAGTAAAACAATGAATTAAATGGAGATTATGATGATATGTAGAATAAATGATTGTTGACCCTAAACTTAAATAGGTTAAAATTATTGTGATTAGAGGAGCATCCTCTGTTCTGTTCAACAAAGTAGCAGTTCTCAAGAAGATGCTGTCCGAGTGGAACTGTTTACCAATGGAATATCAAAGGAAAGGGATTGATTCAACCCCGTGTACATGATCTTTACTGTAAAGGTCTGAGCTGGTAGAACTAGAAAAAGTAGCTAGTCAGAACATTTGCCATAGGAATAGTGATGGAGTATTGATAGGCTTGCGATATTTCATCTTTAGGAAAAGGGATAATAGCAGCTGCGGAAAGAAATATAAAGGGGAGACAGGCAGCCCCCTTAAAGTAAGGCTTCAAGAACACCAAAAAGCTGTAACACAAGAGGAAGTGGAAAAATCAGTTATGGCTAATTACATATGGAGAGAAAAGGGAGATCACTGCCCTCTGTGGGATCAGGTTGAAATCATAGACAAAGAACATCATTGGAAAATTCGTAAACTTAAGGAATCAGCACATATGCTAGGCCACAAAAATCTCCTGAGCTGGTCAAGTATAGAAATGAATACAATATGGGAACCAGTAATAAGGAGTGCCAGAGAAAAGCAATAATAACAATGAAAATTGCAATATGAGCTCTGTTAAAAATCATGCAATGATAACAGCAAAAATCGCAATATGAGCACTAGTAAAAATCGGTGGTGAAGACATTAGGTTTATAAGTCCCAGAAATTCATACACAGATGTCCTTAAGGACACAAGGCACAGTGGATAAAGGCATTGGTTAGATCCAGTGACAGGACCCAAAGAGTTGTGAGTTCAATACCTGGTTAAGGCAGTGGAGAACTTGGAGAGGTGAATTAACAGGAGATATCTGACATCCATTAGAGATGGCATGTGGAACTAGAACATTCTACCCCAGCAAGCAAAATAAAGCGTTCAGTTTGATATTCCAACCACCTGAAGAAGGCCAGATAGTACAATGGCCAAAACGGTGTGATAAATATGGTAACAAAGATAAGGACAATAGTTCGAATAATATAAAAAGGAATAATAAAATAATTAACTGCCCACAAGGCTCTGTAAACGCTTTTGAACATTGTCAATGCTGGGAAGTGAGGATTGATCAGCAGCATCCCATATATGGCAGCAATACTCCATTTTTGGTTTGATCTGAATCTTTGTAAAACTATGGCAGAAAAGTCAGGTACTTTTGCGAGTGATACAATAAAGCAACTATTTTTTCCAGCATCTTTGGCAATGGGTCATATATATGAGTTCTGGAGTAAACTTGAATCCCAGTCGACATTCAAGGCAAGAAGCCTCATTGAGAATGCAACCATTCATCATTAAAGTAAATCCATGGTCTGCTCATTGATGATGAAATGTTAATATTATTTACACTATTTACATGTGAACTATTGTCCTCATCTTTGTTGTTGTTATTATCATATTTCAGCCATTGTGCCCTCCAGCCTTCATCAGATGTATATTGATCTGGGTAACCTACAAGGAATTCCAAACTGAACCCTTTATTTAATCTATGGAGTTCCACTGCCCATTTCAGCCATTTTGACCTTAGTCAGGTGCCTGAGAAACACTGGCTAAAATATTATGTCTATAACAACCAAGATGAAGATCATGATCACAAGTCGTCCCTTAACCCATTTTGGATCAAAGGAGCACCACATGTACTGCAGCAGTGAGTGTATCTAGGGCAAGATAGCCTGACAGAGCCCATCCCTCTTCATGTTGGTTTTGAATTCAGAGTTTTCTTTCCTGTAGACTGATTGCCCTGCCAAGGTTAAGACTCCCAGTCTGCCCTACCATTTGACCAGTAACAGGAGTTCAGTGTAACCCGGATATAAGAGAGTTGTCGGGACCGGAGAAGTCTCTTATATCCGGGTTTGGTCTATTTTATTTAGGTAAGTATGGGCTCTAATTTGGGACCAGAGAAAATCTCTCTTATATCCGGGTTTCCCTTATATCCGGGTCACACTGTAATATGAATTGACACTTATTTCAAGTTAATAGCTGAAATTGAACAAAACAGAATTGACTGAAATTTGAACTCAGCTTGATGATTTCTTTTCTGTGCTGGTATTAGAGTATCCGCAAATCCTTGAGAAGGATAGTATTTGAATAAATCCCTATATAATAAAAGAAAATTTATTTATAGTATTGATTATCCAAACTATCTCTATTGTCATAAAATTCAAAATTTAGTAGTGGAATTTTTTCATGATGAATTTGTAAGCAATAACATCTGTTGATCCAGGTAACATTTAAACAGAATTTCAAACTGAACACTTTCTTTAATCTGCCCTCATAGATTAAATAAAAAAGTTTTAAATTGTCTGTGCTGCTTGTAGAAACTGTATTTGATTCCTTTTTAAAAATTACAAACACTTTCATCTGCTTTTGGGATGTAGTCTTTATTTGGTTATTTTCCAAAAAAATATACTTTAAAAATTACAAATAAGATCAACTCTACATTTTTCTCAAACTACTCAAATAATATAAATAATAATATTAATCAATAAAATAAGTTGCTTTGGTTTTTTTACAAAGAATCTTATTCATTTACACTTTTTTTTTTATATTTATGCTTTTTGTTTTCTTTTTATTTTAAGTCTGAAATTTTTCCTGACAAGAACCATGGCGGAAGAACTTTTTACAATATTGCTGAGATGTCTTCACAAAACATTCCACAGGTAAATTTTGGCCTTTCAGTATCTGTCTATATTTCTGAGATGAGGTATTATGTACACTATTTACATTATTCAGACTCTTGTCCTCATCTTTGTCGCCATATTTATTACAACGTTTTGGCCTTTCAGTATCTGTCTATATTTCTGAGATGAGGTATTATGTACACTATTTACATTATTCAGACTCTTGTCCTCATCTTTGTCGCCATATTTATTACAACGTTTTGGCCTTTCAGTATCTGTCTATATTTCTGAGATGAGGTATTATGTACACTATTTACATTATTTGGACTATTGTCCTCATCTTTACCGCCATATTTATTACAACATTTCAGCCATTGTACACTCCGGCCTTCCTCAGGTTGTTGGAATGTCGGACTGAACCCTTTAATTCGCTCACTGTGGTAGACTGTTCTAGTTCCACGTGCCATGTTTTAATGTATGTCAGTTATCAGTTATCTCTTGTTAATTCCCCTCTCCAAGTTCTCCACTGCCTTAACCGGGTATTGAACTCACACTCTTTGGGTCTTGTCACTGGATCTAACGCCTTTATCCACTGTGCCATGAATCCTTGAGGACATTCCAACAACCTGAAGAAGGCCGGAGCATACAACAACCAAAATATTGTAATAAATATGGCAACAAAGATTAGGACAATTGTCCGAATAATGTAAATAGTGTCTATCTTCGTATGTGGTTGGTTCAAGGTAATTTCCTTGTCTTTGTTTTTTTAGCTTTAGCTTTGTTTTTCTTACAATCTTTTGGCAATGTTCATTCCTGTCTTTTCTTCAGGAGTCTGTTGGGTTTTGGAGTGTTGAAACTTATTCTGAAAGAGCAAACACTTCTCCAAACATATACATCAGGTATTAACTCCCAGAACAAACTGTAGCTGACACATTTTAAAATCTCAAAAAGCAAAACTTTAGCTATATGTCAGATTTATTAATGCAAGAGTGGCTAATTGAATAATAATAATTGGAAAAAAAAAAAAAACTATATTACATGTTTTGTCCTTTGAAAGGATTTCTTTATATTGATAATGTTTATTATGAATGGAATCATATATATCTAGAGGGAGTGAATAAAACACAACAAATGCTGTTTACAATTCTAAATGCTGAAGATACTTTAAATTTTTAAATGTTTATATAAATATATAAACATTTAGGATTGGGTTTCCAGTTCTTTCTGAAGTCTTCTCAATCTCTTTCACTCCTGATAACCCCTTGTATCTTAGTGGCATTATCACCTTGTTGGAATAAAATGATTTAAAAAAAAAAAGACAAAGAAAATGAGAAGACTTTAGTGAGGAGAAAGGACAATAAAAGAACAAGATTCAGGAAGACAGAAGATGGCAATTGACATTGCATTTAAATTTTTGAAGATTATAGGTGACAGGGAAACTGGAAACGGGAAGAAAATTCCACAGGTGAGAAGTGCAAGAAAAAAAAATTATTAGATTAGAACATATGGTTATATCTAGCTAGTTCAACAGTAAAACTATGAGACCTAATTGCCAATCTAGTAACATGAAGTCATGGCACCAAGAAGGAAAGCCCATTAGAACAATTACCATGAAAACATAAAAAAGACACAAGGAAGCCACAACATGGTGAAGGTAAACTGACTTATGTCAAAATGCTAGAGATCAGGACCAATAATATAGCAGACTTGTCCTCAGATTGCATTGAAAATATTGTGATATGCATCAGGAGCACCAGACCAGATATGGCAGCAAAATTCAATGCACAGATGAATAGTAGATTTATAAATGTGCAAGATGGATTCTGATGAGAAAAATGTCTGGTACAACACAGTGAACCAACTTTCCTAGCAACAGACCTAGCAATTGATTCAATATAATCACTCCATTTAATGTCATTGTAAAATGCAAGTCCAAGAATGTGCAAAGAGTTGCTTCCCTGTAAGTTAGCATCAACCATGCTGATGGAAAATAAAAAAAAAACACATAATTCTAAGTGGCTTTTGCTTATTTGAATTTACTGTTATTTTCCTTTGATCCACACACATGTGCACAAGAGGCAGACCCCAGCAAGATCTTTTGTTGATTGTTTTCTGTTTTGTCAATTATCTTAACTTTGAATCATAATGGCACCTAAATGTTTGAGTAAAGAAAAACTCACTATAGCACTCTCTATCTAGATACTGAAACCTTAAAGCTGTTTGTGTAATTTTCATAAAATTTAAAAATGAATCTTTGTTCCATCTCAACACTCAGTTCTTGAGATAAAGATTGGAAGTTGAAATCCATTGAACAAATAATGGTTGATAAGGATCCATATTTTTCCATATTCCAAATATTCCTCACTTTGTTATTTTTTAATCCAATGTAAGTAAGAGGATGTACTCTACTTTGATATTTTTTTTTCAGTAAATCATTTCTTAATGGTACTTTTAAAATTATAGGTTCACATAAATTATAGGTTCACATAAATTATAGGTTCACATAAACATTTTTAGATTTTCATTCTACTTCCCCTTTCTAATCCCTTTTTATATAATTACTAATTTGCATATACCATTAAAAAATGGTGGCCATATTAAGTCACTTTGCAAGTACATTGTACTTATAAAGTATTAAAAATTTGATGCATTTTCCAGTTCACATTTAATACTTTTTTAATATTACTCTCTCCTGGCACCAGTTTAAATTGATGCTTTTTTTTCCCATTTATCTAAACCAGTGATTCCCAAACTTTTTCTCTCTGTCACATTTTCTGAATGAGAATTTGCTTGCATCTCACCCAATTTTATGTAATAAAAAGTACATTTAAAAATTACAAAAACAGAGATAGGATTAAAGGGAGATAACCACGGAATTAAAGTCAGAACATTATCATTAATAACTTTTTCTAATTTGTGAACCCTAGTTACTTTACTCATAATACTAGATCTAATGCAAGAATATCACAATGATAAAATCAGTCAATAATTATTTATAAATATTTATATTGGGACTCATGCATGCAATTACAAGTAATCCATAATATTTTAAATTTTGAAATCATATTTATTTTTGGCATATGAACTTTTTGAAATCTTCCACCTCACCTGCTATCTTCTTCTGCCGCACATATAATTATAAACTACAATTTTTAAAAGTGAAAGTTTCACTGAAATATGAGGAAAATTTCCAGATTTTCTCCTGAAGTCAAGAAAATAAGAACTTTAAACAAAATGGTCACAACAAGCAAAAAAAAAGAGTGTCAATTTAAACTGGAACCAGAAGATTATGTGTTACTATTAAACTAACTAAAATAATAACATTCTTTTAACTATTAAATAATTATGATTTCTACAATACTAGAAGAAGAATAGAAATTTGTGATAGAGAAAAATATTACACAGACAACAAAATTCATATCTATATATACATTGCATATTATATATGTGAATTATTATATAACTATTAACACTGTTGTTGTATGTTGTTTTACATCCATGTTTCCATTCATCTACCAAGGAGTTCAATAAGTAATTCAGATTTGCTTCCCTTGACAACTTTATATTGGTAAATGGCATTCATAAAGGAAGTTATCTAATTTTTAAATCATTAAATGTAAAAATATTTAAAGAACACTAATATAAATAAAAAGAAATAAATATCAATGTATTAGCAACCTGGTCCTGTTATTTAGTAATGAGGGATTCTATTAACACAGGAAACGTTCACCTCAAGCCACTTGAAGTGAACATTCCCAGATTGAGATAATGTTTTGTATTGTTATAATAGTAAAATATCTCCAGCATTAAGAATTGATTGTAATGATTGATTTGTTTTTTTATGGCTTATCAACTCTTTTATGGATTATTCAAATCAGAAACATGTTGGACTGTAAGAATAAAACTATTTTTTTATAATTTTTTTTTTTTTTTTTCAAGTGAATATTGCATTAACAATTTTTTGAGAATAGCATTGATATTTCTGTGTCCTACTATTTAACCCATAGCTGGGGGAGGTGATAAATTCATACCTTTCCTAACGGTATTTGTGCACAAGTGAATGTAAAGGAAGCATGATGGAGTAATGGATAGTGGCTCAGATTGAGGAATCAGAGAGCTGAGTTCGAATTCCACTCGAATCAATTACATTCACTTGCATAATAATACCCTTGGGAAAGGTATGAATCCTCTCCTTTCCCAAGCTATGGGTAAATAGCAGAACAGGCTGGGTTCTATAGCTTTGGGTCGCAACCAGTCTAGGAGAAAGTAATTCTGAATTCAGAACTGTATGTAGCCCTGGCATAGCACATATTATCACAGCTAAAGAAAGGATTGTTCACATTGTCTTGATGATCCTGACTCTGGTCAAATGATGATGAATATAGTGAACCTGACTGGAATTCAAACTCAGATTTTTAATTTTCTTCATTCGGAGCCACTAGCTATTACACTACCAGCTAGTTAGGAGTGAAACACAGTTGTTTGACAAGTAAGTATATAAAGTAACATAGTTTTATATATAAAGAGATGCTGACCCAGTGTTGTATAGGAATAAAGTGTTGTTGCCGACACTAATTTGAACAAAGATCACCAGTGAGCAAACACGGACAATTTCATTATTAAATAAGTAGATCACATGATTGTAAAGGAAACATATAAATGGAAATTAGTGTGACGTCTAAGTGATCTCTATTTTCTGTACTATCCTCTATTACTGATCACTATATGAATTACTATTTGGCAATTACTATTTGAACAAGTATTATTAGTGCGAGTATTATTTGAAGGCATTACTACTACCAATATCTGCGTTTATGAAGTCTCGTCTACAACAAGCATTTTGGAAATGATAACAAGCATTCATTGACCTAATGAAAGTTACGAGTGAGCATCTAATATCACAAAGCCAAGAAAGCCCTTCCAAAGAAATTTAGGTATTGAGTCATTTGGTCAGATTTTGGGAAGTAAACCAGGATGAAAACTTTTCAGCACCCCCTCTATATTTCTTAAGAATTAATGGATTTATTTTTAATCAAATATTTTTATTACTTCAAATGTTATTTTTAGTTGATACCTGTATTTGAAATAAATACCCCATCTTTTTTTTTTTATTTTAAACAGTTTGTATTGAGAAAACGATATATAATTTTTTATATATCAAAATCAATTTTAGAAAAATTTATGACAAAGTGGAAAAAATTTACCTTTATCTTTATTGGCCTGTGCAGTCAAGAAATCTTAATAAAGAAAACTAGTGCTCTCTGAGGAGGCACGGTGGAGTAATGGATAGCATCTCGGATTGAGGAATCGGAGAGCAGAGTTCAAATTCCAGTTGAATCCATTACATTCACTTATGTGCTAATACTCTTGGGAAAGGTATGAATCCTCTGTTTCTCCCCCCAGCTGTGGGTAAATAACAGGACAGACTGGGTTCTAGAGCCTTGGATGGCAGCTGGCATGATCACCTAAGCATGTATCATACATGGCACCTAACTGAACTGAGTGCTCTCTTGTAGAGTTTGAACCTATAACAGGGGACATAGGTTCAAATAGATAAATGTAGTATGCATTGTTTAAAATAAAAACTGGACATCTATTTAAAATATGTGTATCCATGAGAAATAATAGTTGAAGTAATGAAAATTTTGTATGCTAAAATATTAACAGTCAAGCAACATGAATGAAAAATATAGGAAAAAAAAAACGTAACAAATCTACCTAATGCAATTATGATTTTCAGATATTCTTCCTTTTATAATTTCCTTTCAGATTACAGTTGTATTGGGCCATTGTACTGCTGGGGCTGCCTATATCCCAACTATGTCTCATGAAGTGGTTATTGTCCAGAGAATTGGAGCCATCTTTTTGGGAGGCCCACCTCTAGTGAAGGCGGCATTGGGAGAAACAGTGTCCACTGAAGATCTAGGAGGAGCTACTATGCATTCTAGGTAAAAATTTACTGTTTTCCTTACATCATTCTATAACCAAACACATGCACAATTTTTGGAAGATGATACCTTAGTCTAGTCGGTCTAAACCACAAAAACATAGACGCTTGATTACTAAATACTCAAGCCAATTTTAATATTTTTTTCTCGTCTCATATCCTCTTGCTCAAGTTGCTGGATTTAGCAAAAATGTATAGGAGGACATTTTTCAGATTTCAATTCAAACAATTTGTGTGTGTGTATGTATGTATATATATATATATATATATATATATATGTGTGTGTGTGTGTAGTATTAGTGGAAAGTGCTCAATATCTATGATAGAGCTAATATATGCGGTTGCATGGAGAGTTGTTTGTGACGTTAGGTTTCACGCTTTCACAATCTTCAGACAAACTGGTTTATTATCAAAAGTAGATCTATTTATGCTTTATTTGTGTTTGATTATTTGTGTGTAGTGGTGAAAGAGGTAAAATTTTCTTCTGTTTTTGTTTCGGATGACACTCACATATACATAGACACACATACATACAGGCGTATACATGTTAGTTCATACATAGACACACATACATACAGGCGTATACATGTTAGTTCATACATACACACCCATATTCATAATCTTGCGTTATGCACAGTTACACATTCATATGCTCAAGTACACATATATGCACAATTTTCATTCTGTCTATTTCGCTGTCAAGATTGTAGCATTTTATATGTAGCAATGTTCTCTTAGTAGAGGACAGGTGGCAGCGGAGGTTTTGACATTTTTTTCAGGTCAGCTGTTTACTCCAGTAGACAGGCTCACATGCACTGACACATACAGACATATGTAGAGGCACACCCACATTCATTGATTTGGGTCTATTAACACCACGTTGGTTAAGGTGGGTTCTGTCTGGAGATATGGTGATGGTGTTTGTATTTTTTTTTTTTTTTAACAACAACAACTGCAGCTGTGTTATTAACAATTGTAATAATGTTTATGGTAATATTAGCTGTGATATTGTTACTGATATATCAATAATAATTGATATGTTACTAGTTATGATGAATGGTTATCTCCTAATAATGATGGAAACAATAATAACAATTATAATGATAACAGCATAAAAATAGATAATGATAAATAATAAATAAATAAAAAATAAGTAAAATAATAGAAAGATAATAATGACAATAGTTGTGATAATTATAATAAAAATAATAATAACAATGACAATGATAAAAAACAATACTAATGGTGGTAGTGATGGTTATAAGGTAATGGTTCTAAAAGTGGTAACAACAAATAGTGATAGTAATAGCAGTAGTCACAAAATAATAATGGAGGGTTAATGGTTATATGTGTCATGATTGCCATGCTAATAGTTATGGTAGTGGTAGTATTGGTAACAGTGTTTGTAGTGTTATTGTTTTCTGTTGGTGGTTATGTTTTGGTGGTTTTAGTCTTCTGGTGATTTAGTGGGAAAGGTATGAAGTCATCTTTCCCCACTACCACCACATGGAGGTATAATAGTAGACTGAGCTTTCTAGCATTGCTAGGGTAAAAAGGTGCCCCTCACCCTATTCAAAACCATGAAAAAAGTAGTAGGAAAACACTGAGAACAGTTATAGCAATTTAAAAATATTAAATGGAAAATGTGGAGAGCCATGTTTGACTACTTCCTGATGAGAAAGCACTTTAAGATTATTTTTATCATTTTTGACTTCCACATGGTATTCACTTTTGATAGTGTCATCCTGGTCTTTTTTTTCTTTTTTTAATTAAATCTGTTGCCAGCTGATATTCTGTTTACTATTGCAAAATGTCCTCTGAAGTGATTTTTTTTCTTAAAAGAAATGTCTTTGTAATTTTTCAGTGTCAGTGGCTGTAGTGATCATTATGCTTCTACAGAGCCTGAGGCATTCACTATGGTCAGAGACATTGTGGCCAGCCTCAATCTGTTGCCTAAGTCAACACCAGAACATGGAGATGAGCCTCTATATGATCCATTAGAGTTACTTGGTATAATCCCAGACAAGAATCAACATACCATGGATCCATATAAGGTAAAATAGTTTTTTATGGTTTATCTTTTGAAAGAGGTGTGGGTGGTCCAATGTTAAACAGTGAAGAAAAACGGAATCGGTAAAACAATTTCTAATTCCAACCAAGATATCTTGTATTCATTTCATGCCAATTTCCTTGGGAAAAAGCATAAATCCATCTCTTCACCCCGACTGTATGGGTTAAAAAGTAGAGCAGTGTGGTTTAGAAGAAGTTTGACTCTACATTTAAAACCATGTTATTTTATTTGTCAAATCTGCTAAACTTATAGCAAATATGTCATATTTCATTTTTTAACATTGCCTTTATTGGTTTTAAAGGAATAAAGAAAAATTGTTTTATATATATAAAGTTGTAGCCTCTGTCTGTTTGTTATCAAACACCTCTTAAGGTTTTGGAGATAGACCTCCATAACCATACATATTCTGAAACTCAGGGTACTTGGATAAGTATATTTCATTTTGATTAAAGGGGGGTCCTGAGGGGCACAAACCCCTGACTGAAAATTATTTTCCCTTTGATTTAAATTAAATTTAAATTTGAACAAGGGAATAACTCCTATCCAAAATATAAAAGGAGAAAGCCAGAAGATGGAGGTCACATTGGCAAGATCATTGAGTAATATTGAAATGCATATTTTTTCTCCACAAATTATAAGGATTTAAAATCAATCCTCATTCTCTTATAAAAAAATGTGTGGCATACAGAAAAGCACTGGTAATTTGGCTAGTGTGTGTGTGTGCATGTATATACATATATATACATATATATAATAAACCTAATGAGCTAGGCAAACCTACCTAGGTTTCACCTAAATGGATTGTCAGGGAAATGCTGGCCAAAAAGGAAAATAATGGAACAGAATATATAGCTTAAACCAAAAACAACCATGACCACATGACAAGAAGAAAAAACAAAAAAAAACAAACAAACAAACATAATAAAAACTCAAACAACAGGGGGTTAGGGGTTACATTCTTTATTCAACAAAAAAAAAAAACTACTCTAATAACCAGCATTTTCTATGTCTACACCTACTAAGAAATTCCGATTTTAAGTTTAATAAATTATTGGGTTCTTTATAGCTAGCAATAGCTAACTTTTCCTTCGTGCATAGGGAACAAAACTTATCACCTGCCTTGTACTTGTAACATTTTTTTAATATTTCCCATTTCAAAATGGGGTCCTTATTATCTTCTTGTTTGATTTTCCATACATAAGAGGACAATGTAGTACTGTGTTTGTAAGTTTCGTTATTGAAACTACTAAGGTGGTTATAGTATCATTTTTTGAAATTATTCTGAGTAGATCCTATGTAAACCTTGGGGTTTTTATCGATATTGTTCGGTTTATCCTTATATATTTTTTACTTGATAAACCACGCACTCCTGTTGACATTTGCCCTGGAGAGGGCAGGCTTCCTTATTCCTACAATTACACTTAGGGGAAGCAGTGCGTGGTTTCTTTAATTTTTCTCCTATTATATTTATTAATTAAATTGGTCATATTAAGTATGCAGCTATAACTTAGTTTGACATAGATTTTGTTGAAAATTTTATGCAACGTATTTGTTTGTGGGAAATTCTTTTTAAGTAGTTTAAAAAATATCTTATCTATATTGGTTTTCACCGCTAAATTATAGGGTGAGGGTTAAACCATATTAGAAGGTAAGTGCGTAAAGTGCGTAATTTTGTCGAAGGCCTTCGTTTGCCGTAGCCGGACTCCCGTAATGCGCCTTAAGAGGCATGTGCGTAAGTCCCGTAGAAGGCCTTCGTTTGCCGTAGCCGGACTCCCGTAATGCGCATTACGAGGCATGTGCGTAAGTCCCGCAGAATCGTTAAATGCCTAAGTTCGTCGAATCTGTTTTTATGTTCACTTTGTGTTTTAGGGGAATTACTTGTATCGATATATTCTAATTTACTACTAATATTGCTTAGAGCTACAAAGGATAGAAAATTGTGATCGTAGTTGCCTTTACTCATTTTGGAGGTTTTTTTTCTTTGGACTTTGAGCTTGAACTCTGGACAATTGTTTTCGCCTTAGTTTCATGTTCTTGGTTCTTTCTTTTTTATTCCTCATTTTTCCTTGGGTACTGGTTTGTTCTACTAGGTTTTTCCAAGCGAGTACCACCAATTATATATATATATATATATATATATATATATATATATATTGAAAGACATATTGGGAGGGTTTGGAAAATAAAAAAAGACATTCCCGTCACTCTAGATATGTATATAAGAATCTACACATTCAGTTAAAAATAAAAAAACTTCCTTGATAATTGCTAATAGAATAGCTAAAAACACTTGAATATATAGAACATTTAGACAGTGTTTACACAGTTAATGTCCAGAAAGAACACACTTCTATAAACACAAGAAAAATTGAATAAGAAGCTTAAGCACAGTATCTTGTCACTTGTCTTTAATGAAATGTGTATAAAAGAGATGTTGCTGCCCAAATACACAAAATATATATGTATATATATATTATTTTTTTATTCTTTAAATCGGGAGGTCAATTAAAATATGCGACCGTGGTTTCAATGGGAAATTATTGCTCAACGAGACCACTAAGTCAAAACTGCAATCACGTATTTTAATTAACCTCCCAATTTTTAAACTTATTTTTATTTTTACTCATTTTTTCTCATATGTATTGAGCACTTTTTAATACTACTGATTCAACTCTGACCATTAACCTTTTTATTTATATATATATATATATATATATATATATATATAATGTGTGTATGGATGGATGGATGTTGGATTTAACGGCATGTCAACTCCTATTTGGGTCAATTTATGCCGAAGCCTTATTAATTTATGAATTTAAGTTGGTTATTTTGTATAAAAAGTTGAAAGGTTGTTGGGTTTCATAATTTTCTGTATTTTTTGGGATTGCTTTTTGTGACTGTTTCTGATTGTGTATTTTACTGTTTACATTCATAGATGCATATATATGTTTATAAGCACATATCTATACACTATTTGAAAGGGTTATATTTTATTGAGGATTTTTATTTCCTTGAGAAAACTGTATATTTTTTCTGTGTCTGTATTTTTGAATATTTCTTTTAAATCTTTTCCATTGAGATATTTCTGTCTTATTCTAGTTATGATTTTGCATTCCGATAGAATATGTCTTATTGTGATTAGGCTTCCACATCTACATTTTGGTGGATTTGTCTTTTTAATATGTGAGAATGAGTTAAATATGTGTGTCCTATATGTGTTCTGGTTATGACAACTTGTTTTTCTGAGTATTTCCAAGATCATTTCCCCATTTTCCTATTTTAGGTTTAATTTGAAATAATTTATTTCCGGTTTGGTTTTTCCATAGATTTTGCCATTTGTTTCTTATGTATTTATATATTTTAGATTTTAAGTCTGTATATGGAATTTGAAGATTTTCGTTAATTGTCATTTTTAAAGATGATTTAGCAGCATTATCTGCCTTATCTCCTCCTTGGATGCCAACATGGCTAGAATCCAGCAGAAGATGATATTTTTTGCTTTTTTCCATTGAATGTAGTTTATATAGAAGACTTTTGTATTAATGGATTTTCCAGTCTTTTCCCTTTTAGGGATGTTAATACTGATAATGAATCTGAGAAAATAATATAGTTTTCTCCTTTGTTTTTTGATATGAAATTTAGTGCTAGTTTTATTGTGTAGGCTTCTGCACTGAAAATTGATGCTTCATTTGGCAAGCGTTTTTTGATAATTGTTTTTTTTGTTATTGCTGCGCTGCCTGTTTTTTCTTCGTCTTTTGATCCATCTGTGTAAATACTTTCATAGTTTTGATATTTTTCTTTTATTTTTGAGAATTTTTTCAATGTATGTTGTGGGGTGTGTTTTTGATTTTGATAATTTGTTTAAACTTAATATTATGTTTGGATTTTGATTATCCATGGTGGTATGTTTGATTGGTTGGTTTTAAGTATTTGATTAGACGGTATATTATTTTCTTGGATGATTCCTTCCATCCGGAGTCCCAATGTTTTGATTTTATTTGTGTTAAGATTAAATTTCTCTTTGTGATTTGGTGTAAGTACACAATCGTGTGTGGGGTTAGAAGGACAGGAAGAGAGTTTTAGATAGTATTGAGTAGCTAGTTTCTCCATTCTTAGTTGTAATGGGGGTTCGTTTGCCTCTACATGTAGACTCTCTATAGGTGAGGTGGGATAGGCTCCTAGAGCTATCTGAAGGCCTTCATGGTGTATTGTGTTTATTGTTTTTAGATAAGACTTTCTAGTTGATTGGTAGACCATGCTGCCGTAGTCCAGTTTGGAGCGGATCAACCTTCTATAAAGCTTAAGAAGGGTTTCTTTGCTAGCTCCCCATTCTGTATGGGCTACTGTTCGCAGTAGTTGGAGAGCTTTAAAACATTTTGTTTTTAGGTAATTGATATGTGGTCTGAAGGTCAGTTTGCTGTCAAAGATCATTCCTAGAAATTTATATTGCTGAACTACTGGTATTTCTTCATTTCCTAGTTTTAGATTTGGGTTATTGTGTAATTTTTTCATTTGGCAGAAGTGTACAGATTTTGTCTTCGTTTTTGATATTTTAAAACCGTTTTCAAGTGTCCATTTGTTTATTTGATGTAAACATTGTTGAAGTTGTCTTTCTGCTGTGTTGAGGTTTCTTGATCTGTAATATATTGTAAAATCATCAACATAAAGGCTACAGTGTATTCCTGATTTGATGTTTTTTATTATGTCATTTATTTTTATTTTGAAAAGTGTAAGGGAGGGTACACTTCCTTGTGGTACTCCCTCTTCTTGCTTTTGATAATCAGAACGTGTAGTATCTATTTGTACTTGGAAGAGTCTATCTGTTAAAAATCCTTTTACGAAGTTTGGTAGTCGACCTCTTAATCCTAGTTTATGCAGATCTTTCATTATACCATGTTTCCAGGTTTGATCAAATGCTTTTTCTATATCAAAAAATATGGCTATTAGATGTTGTTTGTTTAAATTGGCCTCTCTTATGGC